TGTGCATCTATCAGCGGCAGCGCAAGGAAATGCAGCTCTTCCTTGGTCGTGCCGTCGTTTATCGCAATATCGTCCAAAAAGAAGAGCTGACGGAGAGGATATTATGGTAGATAAACGTAGACACTTCAACTCGAGGCGAAATAGAAGGGCTGCCATCTGCTATTCAATAGACGAGACGTCGCTACCTCCCATTCTTGAGCTAAGTCGATAATCTTCATCCACTTCAGCAGTCAGACTAGAAGCTGCCATAAGCTGTTTCTACAACTACACTAAGCAAAGGGAGACAAGTATCAAAGTACGTTGCCGCCCCAAAATTTGTTCTTGCGAACGGTTGAGTAGTCATATCCCAGCCAATACTGTGAGTGGATTGATCCGAGTGGTAGCCCAGTAAATCGAGCCTGGCACAAAGATCGATCAGCTAGAGGATGCGCCTGCAAGCGTAAGAAGATCCTGGCTGTTTCCCACGTGTTTACGCATCGTCGCTGTAGTGGGTGTTATGGTGATTCAGAAGGGCACCACTCTAATCATCTACCACACAAATTGCTCAAGACAGGATGACCCTATACGATTTCGAGCTCGGTTGTAGGCTATACCTGCAAAGATTGCGCACTACGAGCGTTCCCAATGTCAGGTGCGTTGCTATTCACGTACTGCCTGCAGTGAATATCCACTAGCTCCGCGACCAGGATCCAGCTGTTCCGAGACAGGTTGACCAAACGGTTGCGAAAGGGGCAGCCGTTGATGAATTGCTTGTAGATAGCCTCGCCGTCAACCAGGCGCTTGTATAGAAGTACAGCAACCTGCTCCCGGGATAAGAGTAAGAGATGATAAGGAAGTCCTTATGTCATGTTGTTGCTTTACGATAGCAAGGATACATCTAGACTCAAGTAGAAGCGTGGCGGAGGTGCATATCTTACGCTCGAGCGAAGCATCTACTTTATGGCACTCTAATCAAGAAAAGAATAACCAGATCGCGAGCGGATCCTTCAAGTTCGGGCACTCGGTGCACGACGCCACTACTGCTGAGGTAGCGCTGCACTTTTTCGGCGTTCTTCTTCGAGTTCAGAGGGGCAGACGGCAACGCCCATCGAGTTTTGAAGTGATAGCTGTTTTTCAGTTTGTCGATGTTGATGTGGTGCCGCGGTATGATAGTTCTTGCACGCAAGTTAGCGGCGCGCCAGTTATTGGGTAGAGGAGGCTGCGGAGCGTCGTCGTCGAGCGCGACGAGATCGAAGCGGTTATGATCATGAGACATTCTTTATTTGTGATGTGTAGCTTAAACCAATGGACTACGATGGTGACATATCTCGCATTTTCTTTGTTACCGCTCTACTTCTTCATACTTCCTATCCAGAAGCTCACGTGGCGACTTTCGTTTCAGCTTTCATGATGTCATCTGCCGAGGGTGTAATTGCTAGCGGTTGCATTCAACTGAGGGGCAAGAACGGGGCTGCGTATGTGATGGTCTATTTCTCTCAGGCTGGTGGACACAGACAGCAGGCTTGCCCTAAGAGAAACTTCTTGGGTCTTCTCTTGCTCTTCAAATCTTCATGAAATAGCCGATCACTAACTGCTGCACCGACAAGACGACAGATGCACCGAGGACAAGAAGCACCGATGAAGAGCGATCAAAAACAAGCATGGATGAAACGACTGCAGTCCGATGGTATGGCGAACAGTCTGTTGAAGTAACATAGGCGAATCAGCGAAGCAGAGCGACTCCGAGTTTTTTACTTCACAACAGCGAAGGCTGTCTCTCATGGTCGATACGAATTAGGTCTCACGTTTTTACTCAGCAGAAAAGTTCCATCTAATGCAGAGTCTGGAGCATATAGTGCAGATCTACTAGAACTATCACTGATGAACTTTTCACACATGCTGATACGTAGAAACCTAGTCGACACATAAAAGACGCAGGAGAAACCCGCATGCAAACTAGTAACGCAACGAGTAGAATGCTGGCTACAAAAGGTGGACTGTACTCTACTGAAATCCAAACAAACTGACGAAATAGCGTCGGAGTCCAGGAGTCTAAAGCAAGGGCTTCAACTAATGCGCACGTCTTCAAAGAAGCTGCTGAAGTTGTATTTCTCTACTGCTACATATCTGCTCTCTCATTCGTGTAGTTTTGTCTAAGTCCCTAGCTGTAATCACCAATGTGCTCTCAGCATTGTCGTACTCTAAACTAGTCTCCATGTGACCTACGAAGCTCTCAGGCCTGAAAAGATCTCAAGCCACGACTTCAGCAAGGTCACGCGAGTTTACTCCTTGCGAGCCTTCTTGGAGGCCGGCGCGCCAGCCGCCTTCGGTGCGGCTTTTCGCTTCGGGACGATGGCGCGCTTCGGTGCCGCAGCTGCCGGCGCAGCTGCAGAGGAGGAGGACGCTCCATTGGCTTGTTCTGGCAGCGGGTTGACTGCGTTGTCCGTCGCTGCAGTCTCGCCAAGGATCTGTGATATAGAGGCGGTTCGATTATGAAGAAGAAGCGTCATCATGTCAAGATGGTTCAGATTCAGGCTAGTGCTGCACTAAATGATAACTTTCCCAAGCAAGATGAATCAAATTTCTTAGAGACTATTCAAAACCTTCAAGCTGCATCTAAAATCTAAATAAAGAAGTCGATGCCATCACGTCGTCGCCGTTCTGACCATCAGCGGCGAAAACGTTACCGTTGCCACCAGATGCAGCTGTAGCACCAATCTCACCGTTGGTCAACGCGAGGGAGGACTGGGCTGGGTTGCAGACGCCGGAAGATGACGGTCCTGGTGGGCCGTTGTTGAGGATGTTGGTCAAGGCCTGCAAGGTGCTCGCGTTGCCGTTGTTGGAAGCGTTGGTCAAAGCCATCATAACACCATCAGCAGGAGACTTGGGGGCCATGTTGAAAGCGTTGACAAAAGCGCGTCCCGCATTGATCAAGCGGATCTTCTGGGCGTCCGGCATCTGAGCGTACACCATGCGCCAGGTAGTGGTGGGGATCTCCGCTTCCAAGAACTTGCCGGTGTGAAACTGCGACTTACCGGCGCAAAGCTGAAGGTTTTGAATTTAAGTTCTGAGGTTTAGACTTTTTGGAAGTTCAGGGTAGATGGGGAAGGAGTTGCACTCTGCTTTGATACTCTTCAGGTGTAATGATTGCCACGTCATCAGTATCCCCATCCTAGGTGATAGTCTGTCAGCGAATCACGTGGACGTCAGTCACGAGTCTCAACTAGAATAGACAGGCGAAGCTCTAAAGGATAAAAGCAGTGCCGGCTTATCCGGATCCAAGCCAGTGCCCTTCATCAACCAGTGGAACTGGGTGCAGCAGGTCATGCGTGTCTCCACCTCGGTCTGACGCACACGCGCCAGAGCAGCAGTCAGCTCCTGGCACTCGTTCAAAGCAAGGCCCATGTGGGCTGAAGGTGGTTATGTGGTAGATTAATGGGGAAAAAGTGCAACGTAAGTAGGTCGTCGTTGGAAAGATTGGCTGGCTATCAAGCAGAAGCTAAGTAACTTGGTGTAGGTTGAGTAATGACGTGGATGCTAAAGGATGCCGCGTCATTTTTCTAAGAAGAAACAGTACTGGACTTTCCCTCATAGGAGCGCTTGCTCAAAGCGTTGCAGCACTTGTATCCGCCCTCCTGGGCGTACAGCTTCTCCCGGCGCTTCTGGAGAATGTTGATCTCCATATTACAAGCCTCCAGCGACTTCTTCTCCGCGGCCAATTCGCGCTCGCGCTCGTAGTGGTTGGCGCTCTGGTTGCGGCTGACGACCGGCATCTTGTGGAGGTGTGCTGCCAGTTACTAACTTATGGCAGACTTCAAAGTAGGACACTATCCTCTACACTACTTTCTACTACTAGATGACTTCTTTCTTCTTAGCCCTAGAATGCCAGTCGTTGCGATTCAATTTGTTAGAATAATCGACGCGCTTCATCTTGATTCTCCCTTTATTTCTAGCTGTTTCATGTTGTCATCTACGTAAGTATATCTTTCAGACTGGCTCGCTCCTCTCTCGGGTCACCTCTAGAGTCTCTCTTTCCCTCAGCTCTCATAAAAGGACAGGCGAAACTGAGCCAACTACAAGCCAGGACTTGCGCATCTTCATGCCCGGAGTCCTCTCATCTTCTTCTTGTTGCAATTGCCGCGCGACCTTCATCAAGCAGTCAATCTCGAGTAAGTTACTATCGTCTTCTTCTTACAAAAACGCGCGTCAGTTCATCATCTACCACTAGCATCCATAGCCAAGAAGTCCAGGGTTCAGAGCGTTACGACACGAAGCCGTAAAAGAGACCACGACAAGGAGATGGACCTTCACAGCCTCAGTAGTCCACCTTCACAGCAGCCTGATCTTCTTGCCGCTTTTCCTCACACCGTTCTGCAACCGCGTCTGCGTGTCGCCTCGTGACCACCACTTTTCTATCTAGTTTAACTAGTTAGTTAAATAGCTAAAAAGAATTTTGAAAAATGAATTTTTATTTTTCTGCTATAGTATTCTGTTGCTCTAGCCATAAGCATGAGCGCTCCTATATTACACATACACCCAGCAAAAGGAAGAATGTTCTCGATGTATATGCCGAACTACTCCACCACACTAATTTTCTGTCTACTTCATACTGTGAAATGACTTGACCTGGCTACAACTACGCCACAGCACGCGTTTTGTTTACCTACCTGTAGTGTGTGCGGTGGTCTTCCTTGTTTTGTCTCACTTGTATCCAAAGAATAGAAACACTTGAGAAATTTAAACAGCTTGATCGTTTGAATAGAGAAGAGGACTGCGAACTTCTAGGCTCTCCCCTCGGGTCTTCGTCCCCTTACACTCTCGTCTTGGTTTGTAGTATATATTAGCGTGCTTCTTTCGTTCCTCTCGCACAGTGATGAAATACAACCACACCGATGGATCGCGTGTTGTCCTGTTGCTTTCCACGGCCAGGAACACGACCACACCGATGGATCGCGTGTTGTCCTGTTGCTTTCCACGGAACACGCTGTAAAAACATGTCGCCCGCGGTTGCCTGTACGCACATCCGCCATCAGATTTTGCTGCATATGTAAGTATGCATACTAACTTAAGTGTATAGATCCTGTAAGGCTTCAGCATCTGCCTCATGAAGCATCATTTCCAACGAATCCAAATTGATTTTAACCCCTAAAGCTTTCATGTGTTCCCAATAGGCTTCGTTGAAGTTTTGTGAGACATCAAAAGAAGACAGCTCCTCGCTTAGTAACCCATTACCCGGTATCTTTGCCAGGTAACCAAGTTTCTTTACCAGGTCCCGGTACCCTGCCTGTTGCAGAGAGGAGCTTTGCAAATCGACAGCTACAACAGGGAAAGGTAGGGTGGAACTAGATGCCGCAGAGCTCTTGGCCAATTCCTTTAACGCGAGAGCTGAGGGAAAGACGTCGTTGAGAAGCAGGTCATCGAAAATCTTCTGGTCTAACACAGAAGTTGTAGTTGTACATGGGGACTCTAGCACTTCTTTTCCTTCTTTCACGTCTGGAGAGTCTGCGGGCTCACCTTCTAGAGAGTTCTCTGCGGGTTCATCAGCAAATACAACTTGTCCACCGTCAGCACGACTCAGCTCTAGCGACGTAGGAGAAGCCTTCGATCCCCTGCGCCGTCTCAAAAACGATAGTGATTCTCCAGTATGAGACGCCTTGGCCTTGGCGTTAACCTCTGCTACTCCTAGTGGAGACGTAGTACTGTCTTGTGGCGGAGAACTTGTCGAGTCTTGTACTAAAGACCCTGCTGTACGAGTTCTATTGTCCTCCGTTGAAGAAGTCTCCGTAGTCTTGCTGCAGGGACGACATCGACAGGGATCTTTACGAGGACAAACCTGACTAGTAGAATCGTGAAGATGCCATCTGCCTCCGCCTTCCGTAAACCTCACCGCACGGTCTTCAATTTCTGCCTTTAAACAATTCTGCACCAAGTGGAGCGCTATCGCCTCCCAATCACAAACAGAGTTGACTATCATCACGAACATCGAAGTAAAAAACACTGCGACATCCACTGGCCCATAAGTATGCTGCTCGACCTGTCTTAGCAACCAGCTGGCGCCAATAAGCATCACAATGAAAGTCTCCACAAATAACCTCCGATTCTTCCAGCGAGTGAATTCCTGCTTGCCATTGCTGCGATCGTTAGAAAAGTAAAGATTCTACAGTACAACTAGTACTGGTTTACTACTGTAAGTGACTAGTACTGGTTTACTACTGTGAGTGTATTAGTACTACTAAACTAGTCTTAGTAGCACTACTAGACTATAGTACTCTTATGATTACAAAGATGAAGTTGTCCTCCATGCTCTTATAGTACTATAAAAATGGTAGAAGCAGATCGCCTTCCTTTGTAAACGACAGTTTCTTCTTCTGTTTAGTCTTGATCTCAAGTGTAGAAGTAATCCATCTACAACTTCCTGTAATGCCTTAACTGTCATGCATCGGAGAACTTTGCACCTCGCACGGGAATTACTACCCAGCAACCACACTAAAGCAGCATCAATGAGACTGCTCTCGGATTCTGTCGTTCTTGGCATGCAGCGCATCGCCTTCACGCATTTCGATACCATATCTGAGCGATACCTGTCCCAATTTTTCATGGCTTGTTCGTAGTCGTTCGTCAAGCCACCGTCCCTTTCTTCTGCTCTTGTGCTCCGGCCCTTGTTGAACGATGCCCTTGCTGTACACTTCACATCCTGAATATCATACGGCCTACGGCACACAGGGCATTTTCCTTTTAGGGCAAGGTCCTTGAGTTCCTCCTTGCCTATCTGATTCTTTTCGTACTTCTCGCGCAATTCTTGCGAATCCGCCAAAAGCTCCCTGCCCATCTCATCCAAAATTCTGTCTATGTGTTGCTCAAATTCCTGCTCTTCGAAGGTTAGAAAGAGGCCTACTTCTACGTAGAAGTTCTTGTTCCTGTTCAGTGATTGTTGTTCTACATGTAGTAATTACAAGCGTTCATTGACTGAATAAAGACTTCTGATTACTTGTTGCAATGCGCCAGCCATAAATATTTCTATGGATAGAACAACAAAGATCCTACTCATAAAAGCGACGCCAGCAGCGCAGGTTGCGCCAATAATTTTCGTCTTATTTTTTCCCTCTCACAAGCTGTCCATTCCTTCGCACAATCTGGGTGTATGCGATGCCGACAACGCTGAATTTGGTGCACTGTCATACAGTGACACACCACACACTGCTCGCCATCAGGTTTCCACTTCATGAGAAGATCTCGAATCTCCTTCATATAACGCTGAAAACGGAGGTAATCGGGCACAGCAGCACGAGGAGGATCTTTTTTCTCTAGTCGTGCAAATGGCGGAAAGGGGACGTCATCTGGAATAGGAGCAGGTGAAGAAAAGAGACCACGACTCGGATCATTTTTAGTCGCTCCGGTCGGAACAATCGTGCAGCTAGCTGGTCGTGTGGAGGAACCTGCTCCTGTGTATGAGAATAGGAGCTGTCCGTCAGAACAAGGCGTCGAAGAAGTAGCGGACACTGGAGTTGGTGAATCCACCTTGTCTAGTGTACTTGAGGACCATGGCTGAAGCTGCGGAGGACCTTCTTCTGACTGTAGTTGGGGACCATCTTGAGCACGGCTGTAAAACTTCCCTACTCCAGGGCCACTACTCAAGACCCTGGTGGCCCCAAACAGGAGGACTAAAGCAGGGAAACGCAGAAGTAGTATGTGCATTTTGTTACTTGCAAGAAATACGAGATAGACCGAGGAAGACCAAAGGGTTGACGTTCTTTTTACAGCAAGTAAAGAAAACAAATTGTAAGAAAAAAAAATCACTGATAGAAGACTTTTAGGCTTTTTCAAAAGGGTGTTAAGTAACCTCTTTCATATCGTAAGCTAAATCAAGAAAGGGTACTTACTTGAATCGCAAATTATCATAATACGAATGACAACTTAATACCACTGGGTCTATATTACTAATGGCGGGTGAATACGTTACGTCTCTCTACCAACCTTACGCAGTCTTAAAAAAATCCACTTCGTTATATTTCGATGATGAAGCATTCCTGTTTGAAAATGAGAATTTCTGACTTCAATTTCCAAGTTGTTTTGATCAGACACCAGAAAAAGATTCCCATTAACATAAGTGAATGATCTTGGTCTATTCGTCATGTTGGATTTCGTGGAAGTTATTCTGTCATCCGTAGAGAAGCAGTAAGATATTCGCAAGACCTTCCTTGTGGCGTTTCTTCAAAAATTCATTCCATGTCATGTGAGTGTCCCTGATATGCCCGTTCGTGACCATCGCAGAGACAAAATGGCAGCTTTTTCATCAACAAGAACATTGCATCTTCATTCATTAATTCATTACTCGCACAAGATCTACTTCTATTTCGATTCTCCGAAGACCTTCTTCTTTAGAGGTTACGCAATTGCATTCCTGAGAACATTCCTGAGAACATTTTTTCTGCTTAGTTGAAAAAAGCCAAGGATGCTTATGATGAATGCAATGCTGTAACCTCTACAGTTGTATTGTGTGTGGTCCGTAGAGAAGTTGTACTGCCATTCGAGGAATGCCATTCGTCTCTCGATTGATAGAACAAGTCGAAGTTCTTCTTGAGGCATTCATCTAGGTAGAAGAAAGACGGAAGAGTTCTTCTTGAGGTAAAATGAACCTTGAAGCATACGAGGTAAAATGAACCCGTGGGCAAACAGTAAATTGATGGACTTCATCCCAGTAAAAATTCGAAAAAACGATTACGTTAAACTTGGCGGCTTTATCTCCTAGAAAATCTGCTCTAATCTTCATCTTCTTGAAAACATCAATCTACTACCTCCTAATAACAGTAAACAATCTACTACTTCCTCGAATACAATCTACTACCTCCTATCTGCATATAGAGGTGCTCTAGTAACTATCATATTTTTCAACTGTTGTCCTCCTGGTCCTCGCTTCCCTAAAAATCATGTACTCCGACCCATATCCTCCTCGTCGCTTGCCTGCGCCTCGCTTGGCTGAGCTAGCCTAGCTTTAGCTTTTGGCAAACAAGAAAAAACCAGCTCGGGCTTTAGCTTCAGCGAAGACCAGGATCCCCGCACGCTCATCCTTCGTTAACAAAATCTTCTGTAACATAGGACAGTCCCTGAAAGGACAATGGCAGATAGAAAAGGCCTCTGCAATACAAGTGACATCATGTCATTCTTTATTTGTTCGCAGTCACAGGAACGATAATGGAACTGGTGTCTATTCCAAGTAAGTCTACAATTGGGGCATCATCTTCTCAAGTAAAAAACGTGCTTGAGTCTTCGAGCCTCCAGCCAACAATAAGCGTAGTTTCTTCAGTAGAAGTGTAGTCGTCCACGTCTTCCTTCATGAACAAGTACTCCTCACGCTCCTTCCTAACACTCCCCTTTACAAGAATGATCTGAAGATCTGAATAACAGAATTGACGTAGCACACCTTACTGTATGGAGTAGTGGTGCACCGTGTTGTAGCTTCGTCTCCCAGAATTTGTTCCGGGCTCTCCTGTTTGTACTACATATAAGCTCTTCGTATTGTTGGTATAGTACTACGCTCTTTGTATCGGCTCTTTGTATTGAGTAATATTGATTGGCTTGTACTGTTGATGTGTACTTTCTCATCGTATTAGTGCACGACTGATGTCGCGTAAGAGTTGTAAAGTTTGCTTTGGACTTTGGATAGGACTGGGACTGGCCTCTATCTACTTTTAGCACTTGGCTGCACTGGATTTGTTTACATCACTCGTAGTAGTTGTAGCACGTCTTCTGAACAAATAAAGTCGTCGGAAGAACAAGTATAATCAAACCCTCCGTTATGGCGTCTGACTCTACTTTTGCTCGAAAAGAATAATACTTGCGCACGGATATAATGATCCAAATTGCTCCGCTGTTTATGATTACGGAAACTGTTCGGCTAAAGATGCACACCTGGAAGATTTGCTTTGCTGCTTTCCATCAATCAAGCTCTCTTGATCAAGCTAACCTCAATCAATCTCACTTAATCAAGCACCCTTCCAGATTAGCCGAACCTTTTTCGACCTCTCTGTTTCCCCGTCGGAAGACATCTTGATCTTCCCGACTACTTGCAGAAACATCGAGCTGCCCGCGTCTTTATCATTCTTTGCCATCGCGTAGACCTGAGGTGACATCGTCAGCAGCAAGCCGCCTGATGTCTGCGGATCGATGAGGGCGAAGTCGGGGGTCGCTTGGAACGCTTTTTAGAGGCATGAGGTTGAGGGTGGATGAATGAGTCGTAATTTTGGTGACTTCGCTGCTGAATTCGGATTTAGTACTCAAAAAGCTCAAACACTATGATCACGCGATATCTTGTTCGGGTTATAAGTCGACGTCCCTTCTTGATCATCGTAAGCTGACATCTTCCCACTGCCTTCAGCACAACTGCTTTTTTCGTCTCGTCTAAGCCTCAGCCCTTCGACTTCTTCATGCACCAAAGCAAGGTTTTTCGGGAAGAGAGAACTCAGGATGCCATAGTCCGAAACTAAGTCTAATGCACCTTCTAAAATAGGCACAGAAGAAACATCGATTTCTGCTATTGGTCTTCTCGTAATAGAGCTTACATCTGGAGGCGGGTCATGGGTGCGAGGGGGTCGCTTTAAGAATCCTTGAATGATGACGACCCCCTCCACGTTCCCGCCATCAAGATAATAGCCGTAATTGTAGTTGTGCTTGCGCTCGAAGAAGATCCCAGCATTTCTAGTAAGTGTCCTAGAAAGCCAAAACCAGTAATGTCAGTGCAACCAGTTACTCCAACCTCATCGTCGGCGCTCCTTTTCTGCAATTTTGCTACGCACTCTTGTAGTTTCGAAGAGTATGAAAGATGGGAAAAAGGTGCATGAAAATAAAAGTACAGGGTTTAAGTTGTCCTAGTTGTCCTCTGGTCATGTACTCGGGCCAGTGGTGGTTCAGAAATGCATCGAGAGATGCACGGAGAAGAAATGCTATAGGGTCGGTGTTCCGCTGGGTTCTTATATATAACAAACTCTCTGGGTTCTCTTTCTCTGTGTTCATGAAGAAATTCCAACAAGTTTTGTACATTTCTTCTACAAAATATCGTCATTTCATCAACACGAGCAAGAAAGTGACACTCTCAAAGAGTCTCTCCGTTCATACCACAACCAAAGCCGAGTTCCGTGTCAACATCGATTGGAGACAATTGAGGTAGACGTCTCCAGCGCAAGCGTTCCGCATGACTGCCGCTTGTATTATACCCGTACCAAGAGGCTTGGTCACTACTATAAGGTCGCCATCCCTTACGGCGCGGCCTTTGGTCCAGATTCTATTGGTATTACTAGTGTTTCCTGCACTGCTGGGGTTTGCTTGCTTGTCCTTCTTGTTTATGGAGTTAGAGAGATGAAATATTCAGAAGGGCATAGTACTGGACGGGTTGCATACACATCCAGATCCTTTCATAAGTACTTAGTTGACTTTTTGAGGAATTCTAGAAGCAGTTATCAAATAACCACTGCCTTCTTCAGCTAAATGGACTACAATGTTTTATCGGCCTTGTCTCTATACCTCCAGGTCTATTCTAAAAATCTTGCCATAAAAATCGCTGCATTGACCGTGAAACCCAGTGCTAAGTCGCCCTCTATACTGTGTCCTCCGACAATTTGGGTGTCGTAGTCACTGAAAAGAGACCTTGCACCCTGAGACAACATCGCAAAGTCGTCGGCTTGTAGAGGTTCGGAAGCCAAAGGGACGGCACAGGTAGACAGTGCGGTCACGTGGGAAGCGCCAGTTCCGGAGATGGATTAGAGAGATACTAAAAGACTGGTGCATCGCAACAACCAATCTGCTGTTCAGAGTAATAGCAGACTGCCTTAAGGGCGTCATAGATCAATGCTTTTCGAAATTTCATCCATAACTTGCTCCTCCCCCCTTATCCAGCACCACTCCCATAGCAATGAGATCGCTCAGACAGTGTAGAGCGCTCACTTGTCCGAATACGAAAGGGTCTATGTCTAAAACTCCCGCTTTGAAGAAGTCGACTGCGTTTTAAAGGTGTAGTGCTTCACTATCCCCCTTTTCTTTTTCCCCTTAGCTTCCCCTTTAAATGAAGGGCAAGCTACTCCACTCAGCATGCATGCACACGCATGCTGTTGTCCCTGCTACCATCGTTCATCATGACTCAGAATAGAAGTTCACATGGGATAGTGATACACGAGCCTTAAGTGTGGTAGGTCGTCATCTGCGACGCGTTTTCGTCCTCGGTTTCTGCTGATGCCGTCGTTGTAATGTTCGTATTGTACGATATCACCGCACAATCTTCACCGACTGCTTCTTCTATCCTGCCGAAAGCTGATCTAGACGTACTGGATAAATGATCTCTTGTAGAAGTGCTAGAAGTCTTCCCCAACCCCTTTTTCAGTACTTGCCCACCCAATTTACAAGCGCATCCGCCACATCTCATACTGGGATCGCCGACTAGTTCATTTTGTGCGTTTATTAGAGCTGCTCGCGGGAATACGAAAAACTGAAATAAGCGAGTAACTACTTAAAAATATAGAGGCGAGATACTGAACAAGGAAGAGTAGCCCCGTCAAAGCTACCTCCCATATTTCAGTCAGTAACTCGGTTATTTTCATGGTTTTCGAGGTACAACATCCTGGGAGGACACTCATTTCTCACTCGAAAAAAGCGTCTTCAGCAGGATGCAGCTTCCAAAGATGAATGCGGATGCGGTCATGCGGGGAAGCCTTAAGTTTAGATACCTGCGGATGCGGTCGGAAGCAGAAGTTGAACTTGAACTTTTGAAAAACTCAGCTAAACCACCGTCGTTACCAAAATTCAGTTCCGGTAACATTCTCGGCAGTCCATCACCACCATACTGCGCCATCCATTTTCGGTCGATGTAGTCTTTCAGTTCTAGTAACCACGATCCACGCACAGCTAGATTCTCTCCGCGACTAGCTAAGGCTGTGCCGTCGCACAGATTCAACAAGCCTAGCCACTCCTTCTGTTAGGGGTTTAGTAGGGTGACCTCTCTAGCCCGCATATTTAGGCCTTTCGTCCTATTTGGAGGAGCCATAGCGATGCGCATAGAGAGGCCAACTTCCAGTCCTTAAGTCTGGGGAAAATAGTTCTCGAAGGGCTTCTTTGTAGAAGGACTAGAGAGTTTGTTTTCCATATGGATTCGCAAGTTGTTGAACAGCGTCATCCCTGCCATCACAGCGAAAACGCCGGCTGTTGTTAGAAGAGATTGGAAAGGTCGTGTATGAGTCGCAAAGAAAAGCATCAACATCTCATTGTTAGCGCTCACAAAATCAAGCCTCAAAAAAATCAAGCCTCAAAATAATCTCAACCTTTTCAGTCCTGCTATGAAGATATTCTTACTACATCCAATTTTTAAGTCCCAGTCCAGTCATCCATAACTTCGGCCTCTTGTGTCCTTCTATTGTGACACAATCGCCCGCACCAAAAACATCTGGGTCGGACACTGACTGCATGTGCGTGTTAACGAGCAGAGTTCCATCTTTTTCATCCTGCAGGAAGCGGTGTTTTTTCAACGAGTCCGTGAGAAAGACTGGCGGCCGACCTCCGGTACACCAAATACAATGCTCGAACTTGAACCGTTCGCCCTCTTTCGTTACTAGCTGCTTTGTCTCAGGTACAACTTTGTCCGCAGTGGGGAGTTAGCACTGCCGACAAAGTTGTACCTGAGCCTATTCTTACTGCTTGTAGTTCTTTTACACCTACAATCTTCTTCTTCTTCTTCTTCTTCAATCTACGATGTAGAAAAACTACTTCTGTTTTTTTGCACACTCTTCAATCTACGATGTAGAAAAACCACTTCTGTTTTTTTGCACACAGACACGTCACAGCCTACAGCCATAACAATCCGTGTGTACTTGAATCTGCTTCTCTGCTAAGAGCTCTGTCACAAGCTTCCTAGCTGGGGCGCCATGCCCTGGCAGCAGTTCCTCACCAGTATGCAACAGGAGAATCTGTACAGGATTTTTCTTGTCGTCTTTCCCTTTGCAATTACGATTAGAGGCTATGTCTGCAAGGATGAAACAAGGACATTGGACATTCATTGTACTAAGGCTAAAGAGAGTTCTCTTCTTCGTCTACCACGTCCTGAGAATCTTGTTTTGATTGATTGGCATCCCTAGGATGACCAGCGGGAGCGGGACGACACAATTCCCGCAAGGAACCCATCCATGAAGCCTTAATATCAAAATTAAGCGTTTGATTCATCGCGAAAGCCATTTCCACTCCCGCTGCGCCGCCGCCTACGATGCAAATCTTTTTGAAGTCTTGTTTTTGCACTTTCGTCCAGGCATTGCTCAGTCTGTCGATCGGCTTCACTGCGGTTATGTGTTCGCTTTTCGCAAGGTTATCATTGGGCATCTCTGGTACCGAACCGACATTGATCGATAGGACGTCGAATTTCACAGGAGGACGCGTGGATGAAGACGGGCCTCGGCCTCCTACTTTTAGACCTCTCCGCACTTCATTTTTGAGCTGCATCCTTGAAGAGTATCAGGAGGGGGCCAGCTACGCACTCATACCTTTCAGGGATGACGGCAAAGATGGATTATCGAGAGCCTTAATATTTGGCCATCTATAGGACTCGTTATTGAAACTTCTTCCCCATGATCTCCAGGAGTGGTATAGCGAATTTCACCCTGAACCGTATTGCGTGTCGGCTTCAAGTGTAACTCCCGGTTTCCGAAGTCGATTTTTTCGACTTCGCCAACAATAAACCGGACACGTGCGAATCGTGCTAGACGGAATAGGTCTAAGTGCGCCTCCCTTTTGCTGTACATGCCACCGACATGACCCGGGAGCATGCCAGAGTAAGGGTTAGAGTCAGTTAGGCAAAAAAAAAGGTACTCCAATTCAGGTACCTTGAAAGTCTGTATTATTTCGCCCCCTTGAATATTTACCATCGGGGGTCAAGAAAAAGGATACTTCTGAAGAGGTCCAAGAAAGGAAAAGGATGCTTCCTAAATTCTATAATTGTGGTGGAGTTAGTCATGCTTCCTAAATATTCTATAATTGTGGTGGAGCCGACCTAACTTTAGAGGTAGGCTTTGGGTGTTCGTTTATCCCGCTTGTTATGGCTGTCCCCCTTCGGAGAGCCATAACAAGCGGTAACCCAAGCACCTTTAGCCTACCCTTAATAACTGTGGCGGAGCCGACCTACCTAGAAAAAAGAAAGACCAGAGGAAGATAGAAAAGAGAAAAGGGCAATTGAATTAAAGCAAGCCTTAAAAGGAGTCATCACATCCTTGGAGATCAATGTCACCCGGGTGTTGCGCAACGGCTGCATCGCCAACATCTTCAGGACGTGCACGTGGCTATGACCACCTCCGAGTAGGACTCGGAATTAGACGATGTTCGGATTAAGATTGCTTAGAACATCTCCTGCGGAAATGATCTACTCGAAATGCATTGAGAGGATGCGGATACGCAAACGCAATGTCAACATTTACTAAACTAGGATGTCCAAAACCACCAAAAGACACTCTCACACACTCAAATCATCATAAAAATGCTAAATCTACACAGTTGTCCAATCACCATAAAAATGTTGTCTATGCACTCCCACCTCGTCAAACGCCTTATCCATCTGTTCCATCATGGTGCCGATCTGTTGCTGAGTCCTCACATGCGCTAAAGGACCCCCAGCATAGAGCCAACGTTCTTCGACCTGGGAGTCATTGCACTGGTTTGCATCTACCATGTTGTAATGAAGAGTTGATCTATCTGTGGTATCTAGAACGAGCGCTGGTGGAGAACCTGCTTACTCTCTAGTAGAGATATGAAGAAAGCTCATCCACGTATACTAGTGCTTTCTGCTCTCTACAAATTAGAATTACTTTTTGTGCTGGAAATGCTAGGACATTGCGTACGCGATTCCACTCTAGCCAGAGAAGGTGACGCCAGTTCTTGTTCCCTAAGATTGAAGAGAGCGAAAAAAATGAGCCCCCATCTTGTAAACCGCCTGCTCGGATCTGAGGGTGATTGAGATGGGGTGGTGTTCAAGTACCTAGCACTAAGAGATGGTGATTGAGATGGGGTGGTCATTTACCTAGCACGAGGTGGTGTTCAAGTACTTAATTAATGAATGTACCCACTCCAGGGGTTAAGAAGAGACCACTAGCAACTACTTGATCTTGAAAGGGGGTGGCTGTGCCATGTTTGAGTCTCTCCCGGGGTCGCAGTTCAACGTAACGGTTGTTCGTAAGAGACATTACAACTATAATCTCTTAGGTGGTTAAGGACCATGATATTGCCCTCGATCATTCACATTCGCAACATCTTCTAGTATCTTCGTAGTTGTACCAGTAGTGCTGTGGTCTTCTCGCACAATTTGTTGTTGACAGTGCTTGATGGGGTACGCTGAAAATAAACACTGAATATTGAAATCATGACTCGTGGACCATCTTCTAGTATCATGCGCGATGTGCAGCAGCGAAACGCATGATACATTACAATTAATCAGTCGCGTTGTAAAACTAACACTCCCATGATATTCTCTTACCTCTCCTTCCGGCAGAACATGCCTTCGTCGTGCGCAAATGGGACCAGCGTAAAAGCCATCTGCACTTCGAGGCGTCTCGCCAGAAAAAGCAATCCTGGCTATATATCCTGCCGCCCAGAAGCGATCCAAGATTTGACTTAGAAGTCTTAGGGCGTCTAATGCAGCTGTCGTGTTGAGTACTACTACAACTCATCTTCTATGTACCTAGTCTGATGATGATGATGATGATGTTGATGATGATGATGATTGTTCCTATACTAGAGGTGGTTGTTGTTTGTTGTTTGTTGTTGTTAGTCTAAAAAGCCTACTTTAAATGGTTATGGTTTGTAATCGTGTACTACTACTGCTAATGAGTACCTCCTCATCTACGTTAACGTTTGTAGTTTAAAAATAAAACGCCTGTAGTCCAAATATTTGCTGGTGACATTCATGGCGCTCTTCTTCTCATGCGAGTGGAGTGGAATGTTGCCCAGATCAGTACGCCGAAACTGTCGAGCGGACCATTTAATACCATGCTTCACTTCCGAAGAAGGGCTCGATAATAAATTGAAGGAGTATTGACGACGTTACTAGTCAAGCGAGTGGTATTGACGACGTTACTAGTCAAGCATTCGGAAATTTCTACTCCACAGGCCACGTATAATTACACTTAAACTTCTTTTCCACAGGGAACGTATCTCGCGAAGCGTCAGACCACTTTTTCCCGCCATTACCACTGCGAGGACTGCGGAAGCACCGCAAAGGACCAGCCTCCAGGAGCTGTCCTGGGCGTTTAGGTTAACAGGAGCCATCGTCACAGGAGTTGTCTTTGGCGCGACTTCGAGCAGGCTTCTTGGTCATCTTATTGCCGATTGTGCATTTTTTGTATCATTTTCGTACCATAATATCATGGTGGTCAAAAATACTACTGATGTTATAATTCCACTTTTGGTTCTTAGTCAGCAGTTGTAGACTTCCTTGTGCTTTTGAGTCAGTGATGACTAAAAACTTAGATTATAAATTGGCTGCTACTCTGGTCAGTCCTAAGTCATCAAAGAAGTCTCACACTCAAATACACACTCACCGAGGTCCTTCGCCTGAAACAATACTAAAGTAAACGACCCATCACCAGTCAGAACAGTGCTTGCTTTCCCATTCGTGGCACTGTTCTTCTCCACAATAGGCCCAATCCAGATATTGTTTGGGGCCGTGCCTTTTCTTCTATATTTTTATTGGCTTGGTGCGTGCGCTCTCTTTACAATGCAGCACCACAGCGCTCAAGAAAAAAGGACATCGATGTCAATTTAGCATGATATAGGAGTTGGTTCGACTTCCACAGGATCATAGGTTAGTCAACATCATGTATGAGAGTATAAGAGTTGTTGTACATGAGAGTTGTATAGTAGTAGTAGTAGTAAACCCATTCAAGGGGTACATACATCTGACTTCTTCAAGGGTGTATAAGAGTACATCTACTATATCCTATCAATACACCTATCTGCGACTTTCATATGATATGCTCCTTGTAGAGATTATACAGTAGCTAAGCCTAGGAGGCGCAAAGTGACAACGAATGACATATCATGAGTCCGACTAATCTAAAGAGGAAAACGCTCTGTTGAGTGAATGATGAACACCCATTGATTCTACGACACGCGAACACGAAAGTTTAGTTTATTCTTCACACGCAGAGATCGGGGATGCTGATGATTGTGCCTATTCTTGAGGTGAAAATAATCTTCACACGTTTTATTCCACAGTATGCCTACACAAAATGCACTGCGAAGTAAAATCCATACTACGTGTCAGTCAATGTCCATTACAATTCTTCACATTCACTTCTAGGAGATGCAGCAAGGAATTACCTAACGAATTCCCTGAAGGTTAAAGTGTTACTTCAGGCTTAGGGTTTCCTTATTCCTAAGAAAGCTCCTAGTTGTACGATAGTAGGTTCATTTTCACTGATACAACTGGTGCCCCAAAAGATAAGTCTGCGGCAAAAGATTTAAGTCGCCATTCCGCTTTTTCCTTTGGCATCTTTTATCCAGCTCCAGTCAGAGCTCGCTCACACAAGAAGCCAACGACATATGACAATGACGCTGCGACTGCGCCATTCAGCAGCGTGACGGTGCCATTGTTCAGCACTTGACCTCGGTCTTGCTTCACCAGTATCGCACTGAACGCGCCAACGGCAAAGAGTGCGATCGCACACACAATACAGGCTACCGCGTAGATCGCATTGGAGTCCCGGTCCTCCTCAGGCCATCCAAACCCGATGAAGTAGACTGATAAAGGTAAGCACCCAAACAGTAAAAACGAGCTACAAGTCGCGACGCCATTCTTCACGAGGTCCCCAGTGGATTCGGTCTCGGCATTTAAGTTCAGTTCGTATTGCATCATGTTTCGGATGAACATGTGCTCGTACCTGTCAAGTGCGTGTCTAAATGTTGTCTAAATGTAAAAATTCTTCTGAATACACGTCATGTGTTCCTTCTCATCTACTATAACTTGTAAGAGTATCTTTCACAAATGAGCTTTAGATTACAGTTCTTGTGCATGTCAATGTTGCACTTTTCAGTCTCAAATAATACTGATGAAAGGACTAGATTATACGTCGTGTAGTAAACTAACCCCTACAGTAAAAAGTTTGATCAAGAACGAGTTGACGATTTGAATCTATTCGGCGATCTGCCTAAGATTTCCCAGACGGTGTCTACCCGCGATTTCCCAGACGTGATTAAGAACGAGTTTATCAAAAAAACTAACCCCTGCACTAAAAAGTTTGATTAAGAACGAGTTTAGCAGTAAAAAGTTTGATTAAGAACGAGTAGACTTAATTGTCCTGTAGTACTTCGCCATCACTCGCACCAGTGTTTTGGCATCTTGATGCTGCATGTTTTCTGCCTTCTCCAGCATTTCTACCATCTCTGCCATCTCGTGTTTTGGCTTCCTCCTAAACTCTGCCAATTCTTTACCACGTTCACCCTCTACATAGCTCTTTTCGAGCTTACCTAGGAAGAGACGCCAAAGGGTTCGCCAAGTGTAGTAGTAGGGTAGGAGATGGGGTACGGTTATAACGGAAAAAAAAGTAGTAGTGCAGTGACGGAGGAAAAGTTGTAAAAGGAACTGCTACTTAAGTGGAAAAGTAAAAGGAACTGCTTTGAATAGATCTAAAGCTTCTTCTATCCCTCATGCAAGCATTCGAAGTAGGCAAGAACATAACTAACTACACACCACTGCATCTTTAAATAGAAATATCACTGTCGTATAGGTACCAGAAATATAGTCTCCAAACCCCATTGAGAACCCGTCTGCTAGCACGTTCGCAATGCCTAAGGCTACTGTCACTCCATACCCCAAGTTGGCTCCATGCGCACTAGAGATGATACTAAAAGTGGTGATCACGCCATCTATGCCGCCGTAAACCGCAGACCGTAAGAACTGTGCATTCCGTAATCCTGCGTGCATAGTCTCTAGGTGATGCGCCAAGTCCTCGTTCGACGAACTCCCATGCGAACCGGAACTAACCTGCTCCAAGGTCGTTTCAGTCCGCTCTTCCTCTGAAGAGGCCGCAGTTGCATTTTGTTGGCCGTCTTCTAAGAAGCTCCTATTTGCTGCTTGCAATGAAGATGTACCAGGCGCCACTCTGGACGACATATATCTTCCTGTTCGTGCTACACCTTGCCCAACAAAAGAAGGCTGTTGAGCTTGTTGAGGTTCATCTTTGTCATGATTAGAGGTTACGAAATTACATTCTTCAGAATATCCTCGACCCTTTTCCTACTGGAAAACGAGCGAAGGATGGCAGTGAGGAATGCAATTCGGAAACCCTTAACATGAGCTGTATTAATACTTGTGGAATGCCCATAATTCAGACCATGTGTGAGTTCCACACCTGTTTCAACGTGATGAACTTGGCCCGTCATTTTCAATCAATGGCTGCTGGAAGTATGGGATGACGCTGAACAAAGTATTGATATCGCGTCTAGCGACACGCCAAACCTTCAATCCGAAGGTGTGTCCCCCAACAACTAGGTAAAACCGCAATAGGTTGTCTAACGGCGAGCCAAACGCCCTGCAGCTATCAGTTAGAGCTGTCAGTTATGTCTCAGTTGTCAGTTATGTCATAGGACGCGCGGAAATATCATTGATGCCCCACTAGAACTAGACAAACCGAAATAAACTGTTCTACTTCAACCTGCTGTCTCTCAGCTTCCTCGTAATTGCTCAACACCAATAGCTTCCTCCCACTTGCTCAATATCTTCTTCGAAGTATGCTAGTAGTATAACTCGTCCAGGTTTAACTCGCCCAGCTGGAAGTAGACGCATAATTTAATGATGAAAGCCTAGCTTTACAGGGACTATGAATTACCTCTAGTTTTACGTCACTGGACGAGGTAAGAATTTTCCAGTGGTTGTAACCACGACCTAAGTCGTGTGAGATGCAAACAAGTTAGTCAAGAATAGTTGGGTCTTGATATGTGAAAGGGAAACTCACACGAGCACTAAAAGAGTAGTATTCACAATCTGCTACCATTACGTTGCTTGTAAGCGCAAGTAGAAATCAAAAAATTATAGTCATAGAGTATGTGCTCGCCAAACTATTCTCGAGGTAAAGGGGCTGTGTGCATGGGGGAGGGGTTCACTTTCATTGGTTCGCACTGGTTCATTTTTTCATGGATGAGTGAGTGAATGATTGTACCCACTCCAGGGGTTAAGTAGATGAAGAACCACCACACACTACTTCTTTTTACATCTTGCCTCGCGTGAAGATCTCATGATTTCTATCCTTTTTGCTCGTGCCAGAGGAACGAGAGCAGAACAAAACAAAACGAAAATGATTAGGATTAGATACACTCTGTGCTTTAAAAGTGCCAACAAAAGGTCGCTCGTCATGCAAAAAAACAACACTGCTCACAAGCGAAAACTCTCTCCAGCACAGAGAACAACTTGTTGTAACAACAGAGGAGCACTTCTCTATCTCTCGCTCAACAGTCCCAACTGATCTGAAAGATTAGACAGTGTCGCTCTCCTTTCAGCGAGATTTTTTTTGAGAAACTTGTTTTCTAATCAATGGTGATGCAACACCAACTTTGCATTCGCGTCCTACTCATAGGTTAGGCTAGATGTGGGCCCCCTAGGAAAACGACCAATTGATGACATTGTTGACGTTGATGACAATGTCATAGTGCAAAAGAGATCTGTCGCACGATGATCAGTACCGAATTCCAGAAATGCACAATTCCAAAAAAATTTTCTCTCGCAACTCAAACTCTGCTTAGGTAGCTACCTAGATTCTACCGAGACAAGACCGATTATGGCGACAGAAACATAGAAAGATAGAGGGATGCGCAGATTTATTTTTGAGACACTAACGTCGTCGTACTTACACGACCGACAACATATTCTACTCAGATCTGAAGGATAATTCTGGGATCGGTGATGCAGGATAGAAGATCACAGAATCACAGGACACACCAAGTGTCGATCGCGACGATGCAGCACATGCAAATGGAGGCTCTTCACCATATGAATTTAGGCAATGAAGGAATGACATGCACATAAAAGGACTGTACAACTAGGAGAAGCTCTGCTATTGTAATCCATCGCAAGAGGAGAGAATGCTATGCAGGTACCAGGCTCGTGTTCTTTCAGCTTCATAGTCGCTTTGTAGAGCCCCGACTATAATATTACTTATCGCGTTTCAGGAGGCTACTGTCGTTTTTCTTAGACTATTTTGTGACGCAGAGTTTGAGTGTGGGTAATGACCCTATACATCAAGTTTTCCAAAATATCCATCATGATCTAAAGTTTTCGATGTGTTGCGTTCTAAACTTTGCAAACCTCTTTTCCCGAAACGCAAGCTCAAGCTCACAAATCAAAGCACGGCTTTGCCTATGACACTGGTGTTATTAACCCTCCGACTACAACACTATCGTCAAAACAATTATCGAGAGGGGCTATGCCTACACGGTCAACGGTTACGTGCTAGTCCTAGTGCTAAATCAATTTTTATCTTACTTCTTTTCGCTCTCCGTCGCTGGTACTATAGGGTTTTGTTTTATGACACAATTCAAATATGGAAGTCCAGGTTCTGCCGAGGAAAAAATAGAGCTGTACTTAAACTTATGTATAGAGTTAGAGCTGCGTACTCGCTATAATTTTCTACTCAATCTGCAACTTAGCACAGAGCTCCTCACTCGCCATATTATGCCAAAACTGGTGGACGTGGAAAGTGTAACTCAAAATTTTTTCCCGCTGTTCCTTACTAGCGTCTGCGAACGTCATGAGCCTGACTGGGAGCTGTCCACCTTGCTGTCCTCCGAGAAAACTGCGACTGACAGTAGAATTGCGCTTGTTTATTGGCGAAGTACGACTCTGCTCACCAAACACTGTAGTAGCACGAGGCGCGACACGACTACGACGACTCCGGGCACTTTCAGGTGGTTTCCTGGGAGGGGGCGCTGTTGCTGATTGATTTTTCGAACCTGGAGCTGTTGCCGCGGGAGGTGGTACTGCGGTCACGCTAGTCGTTTTTAGAGCCATGAGAAGAGCCGGGAAACAGCTCTTGTAATCACTCTTTACGTCGATCTACTGGAAAAAAAAAGTCGTTGCGTGTACTATGTATAATCTAGTCTTCTGTAGTTCAGCAATATCATCCGCAGACAGGGAACAAGCTTGTACACGAACCATACCAAATCATAAAACATTATATTAAGTGGATAATGTTTACTCATCATAAACATTATCCACTTCATATAAGTGATGATGATAATGAAGCTTTAACGCTTGGTTTTTCGGAGACGGACTCTTCTGCTTTTGATTGTCTGCTTTCGCGTTGGCTGAAGCCTTTTCGCCCTTCGGTGAGCCAGCGGTATTCACAGCCGACGCCTTTTCATTAACTTCTCGAGGCACACTAGGCAGACCTGGTGTATATTGTGTCGGATGCAAAGGAGAAGTTGTCAGCAGGGAAAGACCTAAGAATAGAGGTAAAGCTAGCCGGCTGCTTTACTTATGTGCTTTGCGCGTCGCTGGGCCTAAGCCTCTACCTCATAGAAAGGCAGAAGCCAATCAAGATTTGCAGCACGCCTCTGATTCAAAGGGGGAAAGAATTCTTATCACTGTTCTGCTATGGGAGAAGGTTAATTACGTATTTTTCAGATGGCTTTTTTTGTATTTTCCAAAGTGCCTATAAAAATAGCCAATAACTCACCTCGTCGTGAACTTTTTCTCCTCTTTGCAAAGCTTATGCTTGCCCTACCAGATACTTCAGTACAGCTGTTTTTCTATTCACTCCAACCAGTGCCAGAAGCCTCAGCAAAAGGTGACGCGCAAGAAACAAGCAACACAGAAACCCGACCCAGACAGATATGAACACTGCAGGCGGCAGCCTGATATGTGTGGAACACAGGCAAGGAGTGATACAGACAAGCACTGCGCCATGTGATATGCTGAAGTAAGACTGCCACGCGCATGCCTTTGCAGCACCTCAGCGAGCCTCTTCACCGTCGGGGGCGCGCGTTGTGCTCACCTACGGCGCCCTTCTTGTTTGGGAGATCTCGGAGGGGATTGGCCCCACCACCAAAGCCTCGACTTCCTCACCCGGGTGGTTCGCTTGCGTGGCTGCATCCTCGAAGCGTGTCCCTGCCCGTTCACTCCTGTGGAGTACGTACCAAGACAAGCGGCCGGGGGCCACGCTCGCGAAGGTGCACAGGCCCGCGCAATCTATCAAGGCGGCGAAGTGCTCCGCGCCCTTTCCGTCTTCTTTGATGACAATGCGCCCGTCATAAACGCCGCGAAAGCCAACGCCTTGAGGTATTCCAGGCGCGCCATCTGTTCGAGATAGCCATCGACGGCGGCGCTGAGCAATGCGCGCCCTTCAAGCGCACGGTGAGCGCCCTCACCGAAGGCGCGGCATGCTTCGACTGTGAAGGCGGATGGCCCCGCAAAGTTAGCCACTTGACTGATGACGCCTGCGCCCGACAGGAGGCAGGTTGCTACTCTATGACCGAGGTGCGCTCCGCCCTCATACCGCAGGCCCTTCAGCAGGCGACCCCCGTAGACGCCGCCCCCCGCCGCAATCGTCAGCAGTCGCCTGGCCCGACGCCTACCGCCCGCAACGCAGCCGCCTCCGCCTTCGCATGCCAGCGCGCACCGTGCCGCGCAGTGGGCGGCGTGCCCTGCCCAATTGGCGCAGGGTTCGGCAGCTCCTCGGAATTGTCCGCGGCGGTGCAACGCGTGGGACTCCCCGCCCGAGGTGACCGCGCCGGCGCTTTCGAAAATCGCTTGAATTTAGTAGCTTCAACCTCAGAAAAGTTGACAACTGTGCTGGCGAGGGAGCTTATGTGCTGCCACTCATGTAGTCAACTAAACCTAATAGGTTGAGTAAACGACTAGCTTCTTCCAATATTTGCTGCTTACCAGGTGCGTATCACGTTAAAATAAAATTCTTCAAAAAATTACGACTAGCTTCCTTCAATATTTGCAAGGTGCGCGCTTCTTCTCTGCGCTGAGCCGATTTCTGCTTGCCTATCAACCGCCTTACGGCTTTCGTTGTTCGCACTCGCACCGTAGCGCTTTGTCTGCTTCGCGGTCTGAACAATTGCTCGAAGAGTTCGTCATCCTCATTGGTCGCACGATGATCTACTCCTAATTGCGACGAGCGTCCAGCTACGGGAGAAAATGAGCCTCCAAACATATTGGATGTCAGTCTCGGGCGACCACCTGGTGCCATGGTTCCCAACATTGTATTTGTAGTAGCTCTAGAAGTCCTTGTAGTAGTCCTTGAAGTACTTCCTGTTGCAACTATGCTCGTTGAAATCGTTTTAGTGATTCGAGAACTAGGGGCATCTGCAGTGATTCTTCGAGGACCACCAAACGGACCCGGAGGGCCACCACTCGTGGTATTTCGCAAACCAAAAGGACCACTAGTAGTCCTAGTAGTGGTCCTTGTATTTCTCCCAGCATTAGCAGCACTAGAGGCGCGAGTGCTTCTACTTCCCGAAGATCCAACAAGCGCCGTTGCTCTGCCAGTTGTGGCACAACCTCTAGTAGGTCTTGATTCTGTAGTTGTGAAGGTCTCTTCAGCTGCTCCTTCTGCCTGTAGAAGTCTCTGCTTTCTTTTCCGACAAAGTTGGTCTCTCCTGCGTTTCCGAGTAGCCTCCTCTCTCTCCTCTTCCTCCCGCTTTCGCGCTCGCTCATGCTGTTTTTCTAGAGCTTTCATGTAGCTAGGACTGAAGAAGAAGGCGAGAAGTTAGAGAGCAGAAGTGCAGTACTATGGGGATAGAAGTAGTGTACCATCATGGGGGTAGCAGTAGTACTATGTATGACGATGGAGAGGAAAACTTTTACCTCTGTGTGTATTTGTACTTACGAGTACATCAAGAGGAGCTCCTACGTTCTGACTATGATAGAAACGATCGAGGAAGCTACTTGGCAACTACATAAGTAGGTACATAAGTACTTACTACTGTCGCCCTAACTACTCCGTCTTCGTCTCGTGCTTCCAGACCGACCACGCATCTGAAGCCGATCCATGTTCATGCTTTTTGGGGACACTACTGTCATATAATGCGCCAGCCGCAAGGCTCTTCGCCGCTTCTTTGCGCCCTTCTTTTTCTTACTCGAAGACGTATTTGAAGAAGGACTCTTGCCGGCAGGTGGGATTGAATTAGAAGGTGGCAGCAGGCGGAACAAGGACTCCTACTTCTAGGACGTAAAAAAGCTGTGAGCGGATGAGAAAGAGTAGCAAAGACTCATCATAGCATCATAACAGAAAGTCCACCCAGGACATGGCTACTCCTCTTCCCTGGCGGCGCAGCAGTCGAGTTCCTCGCTTTCGTCAATGCAGAAGTAGCTGGTGCAGTCTTTAGTAGAGGGAGCTTCGAAGGAGCTAAAGTTCTAGAGTTCAGGAAATAAAAAAGTAATAATAGAGCAAGCCCTGCTGTGAGAGCAGACAGTTCACTCGTCTACTCTTGTTGTTAGGTTCTAGTAATATAGCAAGCCCTGCTGTGAGAGCAGACAGTTCACTCGTCACTACTGTTGTTGTTAGTTGTAGAGTCTACATTTAGTACACGCGCTTGTGAGAAAACATCACTTCACATAATGGCTTCGGCCCGTCATCCGAATCACTGTCGCGATCACTATCTCCTTCCCCACCTGAGCCAGTTTCTTCTGAGGAGCCACTTTCCTCGGACGACGAAGAACATTCCTCTTGATCGTTCGGATCGTGTATGCCTAACCAAATTTCCTTCACTTTTTGGTTCTTCGCACTGGCAATCCTCTTAAACTTCTGCTCTAATTCTGCCTTTTCGCCATCCAGCAAAGCTTCTAAAAACCGAGAGCGAACCCCTACATGCTGGACGCACTCTGGTATCGTTAGTTCTTCAACTCTCCGACGATCCTGGCGTGCTAGACCACTTGACTTTGTCCTGCTAGAAGTGGAGGAAGAAGACGGTCTCGTTGAGGGTCGTGTCGAAGTGTTACTAGTACCAGCGGATTGCGGCTGTACACCACGGAGGTGGCCCATCACTTAGAAGCCAGATATTCAAAATTAAAATTATAGTACTCTCCTCAACTGAGACAGAAGTCCCCTTTGGTGATCGACGATCATCGTGACGAATTAAACCCCCGCCCGTCGTGCGTCATAAAAGAAAGTATCGTTCTGCAACCTCAGCATGCGACGTAATTTGCCCATATTCCCACTCTCCTGCGGAGAAGCTAAAATATCGTCTGAGAGACCTGCTTGTGGACTCTTTCCTTGACGTAGTGGCATTTCCGCAGTGCCGATCCCTGTATTCGCATTGTGAGCAGGGCGTGAGTCGCGCGACCTGGCAGACGCTAAAAACTCGCTCTTTACATCATACGCTGTACTTCTCGCTGTCGTGGTAGTGGGTCTGACACGCATCGATAGGGCTTTGTCATCTACAATAGGGCAGAAGACTTCTTGGGGAATTAGCGACTGACGAACTCCGGAGAAAGTCTAAATGATGAACAACTCAAAATTTCACTACATACTACGAGGCGAGCTTGTAGTGAAGTTCAAATACAAATTCAGTGAGAAAACATGAACATATTCTGTTAGACTCTAAGTCTTGTGAAGCGGCCTTCTTCGTTCTAGACTTCTAGAGATGTTATTTATTACATGCAGAAGTTGTAATCGATTCTTTTTTTTCAGATGATGCAAGCATGATTTATTACATCAACAAAGTCATTTGTAACGAGAAGTTGTCGATGTCTAGAATTATCTTCAATCAGTAAGTTTATTCAAGCAACAGTAGGTTGTAAGCATGATGATGAAGCAAAAATGTAATCTACAACAGCATTTGAAGTAACACAAGACTTCTTGGGGAATTAGCGACTGACGAACTCCGGAGAAAGTCTAAATGATGAACAACTCAAAATTTGAAGTAACACAATTTCAGTCCTGAAGCTGCACAATCATAGTTTGCACAATGGTGCTGGGTAACCACACTCCACGACTACACATAATATTTTCCAGAACAAAAAATATAAGTGCCACGAACTACAAGAGGAGAAGGACTCCCTTCTCACCATAAAGAATCATCCTGACAAGCACCAGGCGTTTTCCACAAAGGGCGACGGACTGCTTCAACGAGGTCCTTGGCAGTATGCGGGTCTTGGGACATGAGGTTTGCTGCAGCTCGCACTTGGCCAGGACCTCCATCGAAGAAGTGGTCGTGGTCGCATATTAGAAACTTGACTGGCTAAGAAGCAACTTGCCATGTTGTCTGCTTAGGTTCTTCTACGAGGTGTTGTAAAGGTTAAAACGATCGTCCCATCCAATTCATACCAACAACAAGTCCTTCAATGGCCTTGCTTCCTGCTCTTTCCTCACATAGGTGGCGCCTTTCGATGAGGACACTGACGGAAAATGCTCCTTCATCGTTGTCTCCGCTATGGCTGTTTTGTACCGTTGCCACCGCTCTCTCCGCAAAAACTGCGAATACAAAAGCTTATCTGTCGGCAAATACAACGTTTCAGATGCGGGCTCGGCTAAGGCTAACAGCAGTCGCTTAGGCAATCGTCGAATCATATCGTGCCGCGACATCACGTACAACTCGACCTCTGTAGTTTTTGGTAATTCTTGTACAAAAGCAAGAATTGCTGTCACTAGTTTAGTTGCCTACCAACGAATATGTAAATCTGACACCCTCCATATCAAGCACCAGAATTTATCAACTTTCGAATATTAAATTTCGATGAATAGTACTTACCACAATCGGACACCAGTGTAACCGGATACGGCTATTAATGAATAGTACTTACCACAATCCGACACCAGTGTAACCGGATACGGCTTCCCGCTTAGGATTTCTTGATGTCCGAAAAATTCCCCGGGACCTAGGAGCCCTACTTGAAGAAGCAACTTTGCCCGAGTACTGTCTTGCCCCTCGATAATGCGGCCTGCACCTTCACGTAGCAATTTCGTGATGTTGACACGGAGGTTAGAGCTAGAGACGATGGTGATGGTGTAGTGCTGCATGAGTGAGTGAATGAATGAATGAATGAATGTGCCTAGCATGATGTAAAGAACTACACTTAGAATAAACAACTACACTTATAGAACAACCGTAACAGATGAAGATGGTGTAGTACTACATAGCAGCAGGATTCTGTTCATGCAGAAGTACACCTACAAAAATGAAGTACACGAGTAATTTCTTAAATGAGCAAGAATGTCTTATACATCAACTGAGACTTTTAATGTTACAAGATTCATTGGTTCCTGTTCCTCTCCATGTAGTTATAACTCAAACCATGTTAACGCGTTTCTCTAATAATGATCGCTTCTCATAATTCCTGGTTTAGTCGCATCTGCTAGATACAGGCTCTGGACATTCTTCACTGTTTCCCCTTCGACAAAATTCACGCCCCTCGTCAAAGTCTTGCGGGACATCTTCAATCTGCTGTTTCCGTCATTGATTAGATAAGGAGGTGAACTTTCGCTTCTCTGCGGTCACCTTTCCAAATAAAGTCGATGAAAGCTCCTCTACTTCAAGAAAACTGAAAAAGCTTCGAAGGGCAAGCGATAATCCATAACCTCCTTCCATTTCCAAGGGGAGAATCTGCAGAGGCTGACGCAGGAGCAACTGAGAAATTTTGTTCCACCACACTCCAGACTTTCTTCTCCCTTCGAGTGAAATCTGGGCCGCGAGGGTCCTCTTTCAGATGGATTAGAGAGCTACTAAAAAATGTCTTCCAACTTCAACGCTCTACTATAAATCAAAGAGAAATCAAAAGGAGAGACGAGAACTCCCTTATCGGATAAGCCAGATAAGTATTTCCTTCGAACGACAGCCTCTGTTCCCACCACGCCATACCTCCAAAGTGATTTCCCTGAGCACAAGCAAATGCCCTTTGCGCACAAAAAACACCGAAACCGGCCTTCCATTCTGCAGACAGACCGCACGTCTCCCATATATTGCCTCCTCATTTAGACATTGGGCTAAAGCTGCTAGCTCCGTACCCTGTTCTCCAGGAAAGCGGACGCACTTTTTCAAGTAGCGGACACGCTGATCTAAGAACTCCTTATGCACTTTTCCGACAAACTCGTCGTAGTCCCGCTTTCGAATGCAGAGAAGCTCTGTTTTTTCGGCTGTGAGGATACCTGATTAGTAGAAAGTGGAAGTTTTTGATGAGTAGCCTTCGAGTTCTGGTATGAACGGTGGCAAGAAGGATCATAATATTTAAGTTAAATGCGAAACTGATCTCAATCATGTAGGACTATCGGTATCCGCGGGGGGGAAACCCAAGTCAAATCAAAACGCGAACTACTACTAAGTAATCCAAGAAAATCTATCACTTTAACTCACTTGCCGCTCTCGGGACATTATTATGCAACGCCAGTTCTCCGAAGCACTTCCCAGCATCCAAAAAAACTTCCGTTCTCCATGCACTTTTCTCTGCGTTTTCCGGTACTAAAACACCCACTGAACCACTAAACACGATGTAGAACGTATCCCCTACCTCTCCGAGCTCGAAGACGTACTCTCTTGCCGCGTAGGTTTCCAACTCCACACGTGTGCACAGTGCGCGTTGTTGATGCGTATCAAGCTTGGCGAAGAAGTCAATGCCAGCTACATAGTTCAGCACCGCGTCAATATGAGCTGGCGTACGTTGTGCTGGTGCTGTGCGACACCCTTCTCGAACGTCTTGATCCCGGAGAACCGTTGGCTGGTCCTGCTCAAACGCAGCTTGCTCTTTGCTGTCTCTCTCCTTCTCCTGTTCTTTATTCTCTGCTACTGTACTGGAAGAAACAACAGGAGGGGCTGTGGCAGTCTCTGCTGCTTCCTCAATATCTACACCTTTTTCTGAGGAATTTTCTGGTGGTTGACTCTGTTGTAGTTGGTCTGTGTCGGAGGAGTGCTCTGCTGACGTTCTTGTTTCTGCTTTCGCTTCTTCCCGTGCCTCATCCTGTGCCACCTCTGCAGCTTTCGCCTCTTCTACTCTCGTTTCTGCAATTGATGTAGTAGCAACTCCTTCTCCTTCCGCAGCAACGGAACCAACACTCTCTCCCGGTACCCCTGCTGAGATGACCGCAATCGCGGCAGCAAGCGCAGATGCCCCAACAGGTGACGTAGGGACGCTTTCGCTCATCTTAGTGGTCGTCATTTTTTCTCGAAGTGTAAGTCATCCCGAAGGCGGTCCTGGGACAACAATGACTTATACTTAGATTTAGTTTTACTTTTAGGGGTTTCCGATTCAGTCCTGCGCATGAATTACCGGAGCAGCAGAAGTTACACGTGAAGTTGCCTGATATCATAACATCGAGCGGACTCCCTGAAACTTCATCGAGCGCTGCTGTCATCGCTGTCAACTGCCTTTCCAATATGAAAGGAAAAAGTGCACTCACACTCAAGAAATTGCCTAGCATTCAAGAAGGAAAGTAGCTAGTACTTTCTTGAGTGTGAGTGCACTTTTTCCTTTCATATCCAAGTCCAAGAAGTTGGAAGCCGCCAGACTTCCTCCTCCTGTTTGGTTTGCGCCTGGCGCAATCGAATCCCTTGGTCGGACATTGCGCCCAGGAGGTGCTAGTTGCTTGCGCCCGAAGGTGGATCAAGTTAGAGAAGAAGAACATCCAAAGTCGTGCCCTTCTTGGTCGTTCGATGATGAAAAGATGAGGTGGAAAGACGATGAAGCAACGTAGTAGTAGTAGTGTACCCATTCGGGGAGTATAAGTGATTAATTATAATACGTAAAAAGCCCTGTAATTCCTGCAGAAGTGCTGACCTTCTGAATTTTACAGCCCGCAGCGGTCAATAACATAAACATGCCTTTTCATATTAATGAAGCAGTCGATATTCCGACTCGAGTTTTCAAATCGAAAACGGATTTTCGAGGTCGTGCTTGTCGTGGTGGCGGTTCCGGCACTAGCAAAGTCGGAAGGGCGTTGGGAACTGCCTCCTCTTCTTCCTCCTCGTCTCCGTCGGCCATTTTTTTCTTCCTTCGATTATATGAAATGAAGTAGGTAGTACTGTGTAATTATGGAAAATCAATAGTACGTTCATTCATTCATTCATTTACCTGTTCTGGAGGTATCTTTTGACGCCTTGGAAGAACAAAGACGATGATGCAATGGAGATAAACAACCCGTAGCAAGAATTAAGTGCAGGGAAATAACAGGCTATTCATAAGGAAAAGAGGACAAAAAACTAAATATCATAGCAAGGGAGGTCTTCATCTCTCATTGTTCAGACAGCAAAGTCGGCAGGGCGTTGGGAGCTGCCGCCTCTTCTTCTTCCTCGTCCTTTTTTTCTTGTACTGTGAAGTACTGTGTAATATGGAAATCAAGATGATGGTAATGTGGTAGTAGTAGTAGCGTAGACTAATGTGGTAGTAGTAGTGTGGACTAGTGGGTAATGTGGTGTAGACTAGTAGGTAATGTGGTAGGCAATGGGGTATAGAAGATGAAGAAATTAATTAGCAGGTTAGCAATAAGTCGGTGCTCAATGAAAGAAGAAGAAGAAGAAGAAGAAGAAGCTACATTGTGTCTATATTAAGACACTGAATCGTCCAGAGGAAATCAAGCACAAAAAAACACGATCCATAGTAAACATTCAAAAGCTGCATAAGGAGGCAAGTTTTCATCTCTCATCGCTAACAGACAGACACAAGCGTCAACAGATTCTTCTCGAATTGAGGTAAAAAATCGTACTGGGTCTACTATTCTCGACATAATTCCACTTCAATGGCTTGCCAGCAGGTTGATGCTACGTACAGGTTTACAGATAGAAGCGTGGAAAGACAGTGACATTTAACAGACTCCTCGTGGCTCACAGAAACTAAGAGCGCCAGCGTCAGACACGATTACTTAACCGCAAACACATCGACGGAGAACAAACAACGGCTACAGCCCTCAAAGCTGACTTCACCGCACGACAGGGCTACGATGTCGAGTTTTTGGTTTTCACATCTTTTACTGACAAAAAAAACTAGTCTTTAGTATTGCGCGTTCATCGTCCATGATACTTTCACGTTCTTCTTGAAATAGCTTGAGTAAGTTTTCGAAATATAATCATTTTGTTGGAATTCAGATCATAACGGTCAGGTTTGTGCCAAACTAAGTAAGTACAATAAAGGTGATGAGGTAACTCCTTGACAGGAGGAGGTGAGACAGATACTAGCTATTATATGACACAATATCCAGCCACCGCGACACCAAGATGCTTCAGGTTTTTTAGCTTCACATCATCAACATTCACCTGCTGATAGATACCAATAGGCTAATACTGGAGAAGAAAGCGAGATGATCCAGTCTACTAGAGGCTCGGTAGCGTCACCCCACATGGCTATAACAGGCATATTCTCATCAGCTTCAAAGGTCGTACTTTAGTATAAGTGGTTAACGTCTCATCTGTTACAGGTTCTATGATAAGGAGGCTCGATGGTAGTAGAAGGAGATCCTTTTTTTTGATGTTTTATATTTTAGTCTATTCTTGGTCTACAATTATATCAATAATATCCACTTAGGTTAATAAATTTCTGCGTGACAGGAGATTAATAAATTTATGCTATCACGACTGTAGCACAAATCTATGATACAAGTTTTCTTGGCGATGTTGAGCTATTTACAAACAACACAGCGTGTTGTGTCGGTGAAAGAGAAACTACGGTCGATCGCTGAGTACGTACAAGGGTTACTTTTTTTGATTTTTTTTTCTTATGGTATTCTTCTTCTCATATAGCACAAGCTAAAAAAGCTTCAAGTCAGTTCCTGCTACACAACGTCGTGGCTCCCTTCCTCGACATGATGAAAGAATACTACTTACTACGAATACGAACAGGTGAAAACTTTTCTTTCAGACACGGAAAGCGTATAGAATCTTTTAGAGTAGAGACTTAAGGAACTTCTCTTTTTACAGCAGAGACCGAAGAAATGCAAGCCCTCGTCTGCCTCTCCTGCACCACCCTTCTCTAAATATCTACCACTACGGATGAAGATAGATCACCACAAAGTTAACTCTGTGATGTCTCACCTCTAAGTAACAAACAATCTCATGTAAGTTGTTTTGATGCAAATGCATAGATTATAAAGTATTTAAGTCCACAACTAATATCCCTCGGTGTACCAGCACGCACACAGACACGACTACAAGGCTCGCTGTTAACGTGCAGGATCATAAATTCAAATACGACTGCTCGTTGAAGTGTAAGTAAGTATAATAGCATGAAAAATGTTAAGTTCGCTCGCGGCGCGCCCCCTTAGTTTTAGTAAGCTACCCTCTGAGTCATGATCTCGTTAAATAAATATAAGTACACTTTCTTGATGAATAACAAATTCCTATCTTATTTGATGTGATAATACCCTACAGAAGCAAATAATAAAACGTAACGATAACGTAATAATTTGACCTATTATCCCATTTGATCTTGTTGAATGACCACCTGCATTGTCGTGGTCTTCGCAATGAAACACAATCATATCACATAAACATTTGTTCAAACAAACTCCTTTTTTCGAAATTTTCCAACCTCATACTCGAAAGAAACTCGAAAGACACTCGAATCCGCGTCTGCTCAACACCTGAAAAAAATCATGTGGGAAACTGGGACGATCACAGAATCTACAGCGCGGTTGGCTCTTGTGGTTTTCAAAAAAAAAATCGAGTCAAAAACCATTGAAATTGTAGTAGTACCTTCAAGGCTCCCCGCGACGTCGTAAGACAGCGTCCTTCGAGCAATATCTTGAGCAATAGTGCAGCAACCTCCTTCCCGTCTCTTTTCCGAGGTGGATAGCAATCGTCACTCTACTCTCCGCAGAAACAAGGTAGCAATCCGATTGTCCTGCACCGCCACAAGAAGTGCTTTCCTGCTACTACTTGATGATGAAAGCGTCTTCCCATTTCTTCTCCTAGACTAAGTATATAACACGTCTTCTTACGTCTTCTTTGATAAGTTCTCCACACCGGTCTCGTCTTCCTCTGGTTCATTCTTCACTACTTTTATCCTTGTTCTATCAACTTCTTCTTCCTAGTAAAGATCCAACTTCTTCTATTCACCCTTTGGGTTTGGTTTAACAGTCAGACTTCCGTGATTGATGTGCTGACTCAGATTGATGTATTTGTTCACCAATTCTGACCCTTCTTCCGCTTCTTTGCCGGGACTGCTTGTATTAAAGCTCAGCATTCAATGGTCACTGACTCTGAAAGAAATAGGCCCGAGGATGCCTCTCCTTTTGCTTTTCCTTCATTTTCCCCCCATCTTTCCTCAAGAGGGAGTTCTCTCAACAAGAGGGATCTCAGTGACCCCAATCTCAATGGTGACCATTGAAAGCTGAGCCTTAATTGTACTACTTGTTTGTGGTACCACCTGTGGCTGCGAGTTCGGCTGAGAGTTAGGTTGCATCGTAGGAGGCTGAACTACTTGTTGACCTGGCTGCATGGGAGGAACCTGAGGTTGCTGCGGCATCTGCTGTTGGCCGCCCATCTGCTGTGGTGGAGGTTGCTGGTTTTGGCCGCCTGGCATCTGCTGATTTTGTCCTCCCATCTGGGGTGGACGTTGGTTGTTACCTGGTTGACCTGGTTGTCCTTGAGGAGGCTGCATCTGCTGTGGTCCAGTCATATTATTGTTGCTGTTGCCAGTACCAGCCATTTGCGGCTGACTGGTGTTATTCCCGTGACCAGGCAACGCTGGCAAAGGCATACTATTCGTATTCGCAGCACCTCCTCCTCTCATGGCATGAATGTTGGGCGGCAACGGATTCATCCTGGTCGATGGTGTGGTAGTTGAAGTGCTTCCCGGTGGTGGACCCAGAGCGCCTGGCGGCAAAGGATGTGCTCCTCCAGGCAGAGGGAAGTTCGTTCCCGGCAATGCTGGCGCAGTCGTACTAGCACTGCCCACGGATGCCGTCGACGACGCAACGCCAGAGAGCGGCTTGTGCTGTCCTCCCAGCATGCCACTGGTCTGCCCTCCCAGCTGACTTGGAGAGGGCAGCATGGGCATCGCGTTGGGCATCGCGTTCCCATTAGGCGGAACAACTGGCATCATATTTGGGGCAGCAGCTGGATTCGACCCTCCTAAATTCGGATGTTGTTGAGGAATACCGCCTGATATCATGCTGTTACTACTAGGATGCCCAGACATCATGCCATTCGGCTGTTGCTGTTGTTGAGGCATCATGCCATTCGGCTGTTGCTGTTGTTGCATCATGTTGCTACTCTGCATCATGTTGTTGTTGTGTCCTGGCATCATCATACCATTCTGCTGCATCATACCGTTGTTTGGCATACCACCTGGCATCATACTATTGTTGTTAGGCATGCCCTGCATGTTGTTGGGCATGCCCGGCTGTTGCATGTTGTTGGGCATGCCACCTTGTTGCTGTTGCATGTTGCCCGTATTGGGTTGCATGCCTGGATTCTGCTGTGGGATGTTCTGCATGTTACCCCCCTGCACGTTACCTCCTTGCTGCATATTAGGCATCTGTTGAGGCATGTTTGGCATGTTGTTTGGCATACCCATGTTTGGCATGCCTTGCTGCGGCTGCATGCCTTGCTGTGGCTGCATGCCTTGCTGTGATTGCATGCCTTGCTGTGGCTGCATGCCTGGCTGCTGCTGCTGCTGCATGCCTGGCTGCTGCTGCATGCCTGTTTGCTGCTGCATATTCCCCTGCTGTTGCATACCAGCATGTTGTCCCATACCGCCTTGCTGCTGCATGTTATTCATACCGCCCATACCCTGTTGCTGCATGCCCTGTTGCTGCATGCCCTGTTGTTGCATGCCCTGTTGCTGCATCCCCTGTTGCTGCATGCCCTGTTGCTGCATGCCCTGTTGCATACCTGGCATGCCTTGCATACTGTTCATTCCGCCAAATTGTTGCACGTTGCCAGACAATCCCATCATCTGCGGCTGCATTTGCCCAGGTGAGCCGTCTGAAAGAAGGATGATTGGGTTGAGTGGAGGGTCAGAAGGAGGAGTGGAGAAGAGAAGAGAGATGGTAAAAAGCAGATCACATCACCCAAATCTAGAAAGGTCCTAGACCTAGCAGAAGAAAAAATATAGTGAGTTTAAAAATTATGATAAAAATCAAAGTATCTATTGAGTCTATGTTGATCAAAATCACAAAGTAAATAACAAGTACTCCATTGTTGCTGTCCTCCCATAGGAGGCATTTGCGGGTTTTGCCACATTTGCTGTGGCTGTTGCATCGCTTGTTGTTCCGCAGGAGGGACCCTTTGTTTTTGACTGATGATTCCTGTTCGGTCGTCTCGAGTCACTTCGCCTTCGTTTCCAGCTCCGCCATTCTCATTAGCTTTGGCTATCAAGCCCAGCTTCTTCGTTGTGTCCAGCACGACAGTCCCACCCTGGTCTCGGTGATACACCTTTCGCGCACCTTGTGGGTTCTCGCCTTGAGCCTCAAGTGAGGTGTCATTGTCAAAAACATTCACAGTACTCGCTGCGAGCCGCGAAGAGGAAACAAACCGCTCGGGATCGTCGAGGATTTGAAGGTAGACCTGTAGAAGTTGCGGGGAATCAAGTGAATTGCAATTTGGTGGCCGAAGAAGTCGTGAGATCAACTTTCCACTTCTGCACAGATAAGAATACTGCATTTGTAGGAAAAATTCAAATTCACATCGTAGATACAGGAGTACTTTTCTACCTTCTAGTAAAAAGTTGTCAGCAAAAATGTCAGCAACTCAAGAATAAAAATGTATGTAAAAAGAGTTGTAGCCACATAACCCTTGATTACGACCTTGTTGAGCTAATTCAGTACCGTGCACTCATCCGCCCCTGGCTCTTCGTGCTTAAATCGGCACGTATTTCCACGTCCGCAACCAGCTGTGAGAGTTCCCTGCGGCCCCATGTTTACTCTTTTGTAGTATCTGCAACGATCATCTAGTACGCCATCAATTTCTACACTTTTGTCGCCGAAGGCACCTGGGATTTGCGGAAGAGACAAAAATCAAGCTTGAGTTTCGAAGAGGAGATCCAGTGCTGAGTAAACTTGAACAAAATTTAGGAATTGAACTTCATCTTCAACTACTAGAAACTGTATAAGTAAAAGCACCTTTCCCAGTAACCGGTGAGGGGACTGCTGTCATAGCAGAGCTGCCTGGTGGAAACCACATGCCATCGGCTGTATAAGACCCTAAACTAGACCCCATGGCATCTGTCGGTGTTTGTGCTGCCCATGCTGGCGAAATTGCACCTCGACCGGTTCGATCGACGGAGCCACTACTACTATTCAAACCGGCGTCCATGCCGTTGCCGCTATTGTATCGACTATAGGTCGTGCCAGATCCTGCTACGTTTCCAGAACTATTACTGGTGTTGTACATGTTGTTTTGCTGTTCGTTCCACCCTCCAGCAAATGAACCGTAAGCATTGCTGTTATACTGCTGATACACGTTGCTCATACCCCAAGAATTGCCCTGATGTAAGTTGTTGTGATTGAGATATAGAGATGTTGTTTTGGTTTCAGGTACAAAAAGTGGGGGTGAAGAGTTTGTTTGAAGCAATCAATACGAGGTCACAAAAGAACGAAAGAGGGAGAAAAATTCGAGTAGAAGTCGATATCAAATTTATAAGTATACCTGTTGGTGCGATCGATCGCCGTCTTGATCGTACCCCGTTGGTGAGCTGCTCGAAGGCCACTGATTCTCCCACGGCTGTTTGTTTTTGAAGGATGTGGTAGGTTTGTCAAATCGAGCACTAATCATCAGTCTCGAGAATTCGACAAATAACCTGTATTTTCTGTTCTGCCTAAGATATAGAGAGTTATGGTTACCTGTCCTCCTCCGCCTTGTTGCATATTTCCTTGCATGTTTCCTTGCATGTCCATACCGCCTTGGGCGCTCATTGCTCCGTTATGAGGATCTCCGCCTCCAGGCATCTGCATGCCTTGCATGTTGTTGTTATTTGCTGAGGAGTTGTTATTTGCTGGACCGCCAGTTGGACTTGGGCCTCCTGAGCCTGACATGTTATTATTTCCCATGTTCATCATGCCACCAGTGGGACTAGGCATGCCTTGCCAACTATGATTTCGTGGTCCACCCTTTTTACCACCTCCTTTTCCGAGATATTTGCCTCCGCCACCACCGTCACCTTTGTTCGAGAACATGCCGTCTTTGTTGCTGTCCTTACCACCGGCATAGTGGTCTTTGTGCCCACGGTAGCCGTGGTCTTTCGACCCATAGTTACTCGTGTGGCCGCCTCCATAGTTACTCGTGTGGCCGAAGGTTAGAGAGAGAGAGAGAGGAGACATCGAACAAATTTTTAGAAGATAAAGATCACATAATCGACAATTTGAAACAGCCCCCTTAACAATAGCCAAACGCCAAAAGGAGTGCGTGGAATGATAAAAAAACAAAAACTTAGACTGGTGCAAAAACAAAAAGTAGCTGGAGTTGCAACCAAATGGAAGCAACATAACTTATTCCCTCCTCCGGAGTGTTTTTTTGCTGGTTGGTTTAGCATGGAATAATCCGTGGGATTCCAAGTCCTTTTTCCCTTTTTCTCGCTCCATCCCTGAGTTAAACCAGCCTGCGCTAAACCAGGCTCAGCTCGGCTCGATGGCTCGTCCATACCTTGTTGGAGGGTTTGGAAGATAGAAGACAAGAGTCTCTTGTAGAAGTGCCATGATAAGAGTGATGCGATCTAGAAATTCAAATGATCATCTCACCTGGGGATGAAAAAGCAAACAATTTACGAAACTGCAGGCATCAACCATAAACTTGTAGGTAACTTCAAGTCTAACTTGTAAGTACTTTCCTCTCGTTCAGCGTCGCCAGATTCGCCACGCTCGGGTTCAGATGCAGGCGATGCAGTAGATTGATTATCGAGGTGCCGCGACGCCTGATTCAATGTGTGTTGAGATGCTGTGGTGTTTTCTTGTTGACCAAGAATACCTCCTCCGTTGCTACCAGTGTTGAGTGCTTGTGCACAGGCTGTAACAACTCCTTGACCAGCAGGAGGACAATGTCCTACCCCTACTCCTGCTACTTCTTGGTGACCAGTTGTAGTATCCCCAACAAAGCCCCGTTGTTGACAACTACTATCCCCAACGAAGGACCTTGCGTCTCCTCCTCCAACCCCAACAACTCCCTGTGAATCTAAAGTGGTACTGGTAGTGCTGCTAGTAGTACTACAGACGGTTGTCTGCGGACTCATAAGCACCTCACCACCCAACTTCAATTCTGAAGCGGTCGCCATGGCCACATCTAATATTTTAGCAGGAAAAATATGGATAAGTAAGTATGCTGAAACTACGAGGAATTGCTCTGTATGATAGACAAGTTGGCGCCCGTTTTCTGTTTATAGACGGAACTCCTTGCTGGGAAGGACTGATGGAAAAGAGAAGTCGACTGAGCACAAAATGAAACAGTTACAAATCAAATACACACTGTCGAAAAGAGCGATTGCAAATCTACAGTAAGCTGCCCTTGCAAAGAAAGAACCTACGACGTTGTCGCCGTTGGTGTCGTCGTTGATACAACTATGTAAGTGATGTATAAGGGCTTTCTTAAGGATATGTAAACTCAAGATGCTTTGTGTCTTCGTCCTTGATGTGACAACGCGTGAAAAAGTAGTTGCAACATACAATATGAATACCGCCGACGCCCTGTATCTTTTATTTAAAGAACTGAGATCTTAGACAAGAACACGTCGTGTATGTAAGAATTCGTTTGATATAGATTAAAATTGTGTATCGAGTTTGTTCTGAGCACTAGATAATGACACTGAAGCTACACGATGAGTCTCCCGTTTTTCGAAATTTTTGAGGAAAAGAACGACGCATACAAGGACGACAAAAAAGATACAGCCAATATAGAGTCTTCTCCCTGAGTTTGATTTTATCGTCCACCCTCTGTCGCAAACGGAACTACCTAAGCTTCAACGCAGCGAATACTAAGTATAATCTTTCAGCGTGCTACTTCGTAATAACTTCTTGTCATTCATCGGTGTTATGCAACAATAAAATAGAAGATTAGAAGTTCTCTGGTGCTGAACTTTTGCGACTCCGCTATCTATTTTTTGAAGGGTGGCCTGTAAACAACAAGGTACAAAAAAAGGAATCAATAGTGTGCTGTCTGTGGTAGATAGAGGATGCGAGGTCTTCGCTTATGAATAATATGTAGATGTCGCTGTGGTTCTTTGTTTAGCCCTGCATGCCACAACGGTCCGACATTAGTTCTGGGCGTGTGTTCTCATATGAATAATCTCATCAGATGTTCAACAGAAAAAGTGCTATCTATGCCACCTCTAATTTAAGACCTTGATGTAACAACTTCTAAATCTATGTATCACAAGAACTCACAATAAGTAGAAGATAGTCATGAACTCAACCAGATGACGAGGAGACCCAAACAGATCTCAATATTATATTGTGTGAGTCCATTCGAAGGTCTATTGTTCAATTCATGCCATTCACTTCTCAATTAAAAGATGCATGCGGTGACCGTCCAGATCGACTCACGGGATGGAAGAAAGCGAACCGATTTTTTCAATTCTCTGATTCATTAGAAGCCAGCATCCTCTGTTGTTTCATTAAAAAGGAGACGGGGTCGTTTCTTGCAAGTTTCGGAAAACTAGTACAGTAGCCTTGTGTTTGTTTAGAACTGTGAAAGAATCACGATACTTATAGTTGATCAGTATGGTTTAAATCCCATGTTTGTTAACTGGTGATGGTGGTGCTTCATTACATTCACAATGCTGGTGGAAGGATACTGATCAACGAGTACATGTGTAGAACTACATAATGAAATTTCATTCGGTCAAGAAACACGCAGATCATACGTATTCAATGCCATTCAAGTTCCTTCACAGGAAGGGATGAGTAACAAACTGTTGAATTCCAGAAACCTGGATAAGAACTACACGAGCAAGAAAAAAATTTTCATTCAAGGACATAACAGACATACGAACTTCTGCAGAAATTCAGATTCGAAGGCCCCTGTTTCTTGGCCAAGAATATGACGTTCGTTGAGTCAGACGAGCACAACTACAGTTATAAGGAAATCGACAGGAGCTCAAAGAAGATCAAGACCATAGAAGACATGAAGATTGGTGACACCAAAGCGATCAAGACCATAGAAGACATGAAGATTGGTGACATCAAAGAAGATCAAGACCATAGAAGACATGAAGATTGGTGACATCAAAGAAGATCAAGACCATAGAAGACATGAAGATTGGTGACTAATCAAAAAGAGATCAAGACCATAGAAGACATGATTGGTGACATTTGGATAGTGGTTCGAGATGAAGCATGAAATTTGAGCAGCAGATTGGAAAAACTTGCTATTGATGCAGAATGCATTTTTTCTGTGGGACTCGTGTGTACTTCTCCCTTCTGTTGGAAGTGATCGTGGGATTCGTGTGTACTTCTCCCTTCCGTTGGAAGTGATCGTGGGATTCGTGTGTACTCCCTCCCGTTGGAAGGGATCGCTTTCTTCCAGGATAGTAACTAGTATGAAGTCAGAAGTATTTGTTCTTCTTGGTTATTTTCTCAGTGCAGTGCAAGTGTACGTTGTTTCTTACTTATTTATTCATATTTTCACGGTCTTTGATTGTCTTTGTCAAAAGTGCTCACTTATATATCCAAGCTTGTCTTTGGGATCCAGTGTTTTTGCACTACTTTTTTCACCGCTTCTTCCAGGATAGTAACTAGTACGATCCCATTTCCTGCTACAATCGACTTTATCGACTCAAGGACTCAAGAAGAATCAATAGTACCTGCTTTCAGACAAGCTTCTGAGTTGGAGAATCAGCGGAAGACACAGAGGCGTGTCAAGAGCACCTCCGGGTGTGAGAATCACCGCCGCACCTTGTGAGAGAAACTCCGGAAATGAGCCGCCGCCCGCTCAGCGGCTTTCCGGCGGCCCCAATCGGGGCAGCATCCATATTTTGTGATCTTCAACAGATCGTTATCAAATCATAAGAATGATGTAATTACTTCTTAGCTCATGTTGTAGAGGTACTTCTTAGCTCAGTCTTTCCAATTTTGAGAGGAAAGATCGCCGTTTGATTCTCTCTTTGGAGAATCCCTCTCCACGCTCTAGTCTAGTACCTCCCTCTTTATTCGGTTTCTGAAAGTTTGTCCTCTCTCTTCAGCGTGCTAACGGCCTTTTTTCTCAGCACACATCCAACTCTCACGCCTTTCAAACTTTTCGATGTAACCCAACAGTGAACGAGTTGATTTTATTTGACCATCCGTCATGGATAAAGAAGGTGAGCCGTTAACGACTCAGCCGCGTTTTCTGAGGGCTCACAGCTTATGCTTACGTTTGCAGTTTAAGGTCAAAGGGGAGTGGGTGCATAATAGGTCATGTACAGAAATGGACTAGAATATGGTCTAAGATCAGTCGTGGGGTATGGAAGACTTCAATTAGCAGGTAGATCTACTTCAGCTTCTTTACTCCTCCTTCCTTTTTCCCCGACACTTTTCCACGACACAGTTTGCTAGCAGGATAAGAAAGTGGAAGTTTCAACTTCGGCTACAAGCATCATGTCGCACATAGATACAACTACATCTTCATGGATGACATCATTTTACTATTTAATATATTAAAGCAGAGAAAACTTGAATCTCCTGAATTAGGTGGTGATGGTACTCGAAAGGCTATCTCGGAATTTCAGGGGACAGCTTTTACAGTTATCAATCTATGCACAAAACTAATCAGAATAACTGAGCGATCAGAGTCTTACCATAAATTGGAATTTATTCAACGGTCAGCGTCGGAAATTTTCAGTGTAATTGGGATTCGATCTATATCATAGCGGAAATTTTCAGTGTATTGGAATTCGATCATCTCAATTCGCGTAACTCGATGGAAATACGTTCTACTACTTTTGCATGATTGTTGGAAATTTTCAGTGTAATTGGTTAGAAATTGTACCTACTGACTAGCAGTCCATGAACAAAGTAAAAAGAAAAATGGGTTTTTGTTCATGACAGCATTACGGTTCTAATTTCGGTACGCAATGACTAGTAACTCTAATAACTTAGTTTCGTACTCAGAAGTGTCAGTAGCTTTACTCACTAAATTCTGGACCAATAAGATACGATGATCACATCATTAGCTACTACCACTGTTGCTGTAAAGAGATGATTATCTTAATTAGCTAGTACTACCACAGTGTCTGTGTCAGTAGCTACTAACTAAACCCCTGCAATTACTAATTCGTGCAATTGCTAATTGGTGGAACAGGTCCTCGTCCTAGAATATTGACTAAATGCTAGAAATACTTATTCCACACCTGGTTCTTTTTGCCTACAGACGGTGATCTCCCTAGTGAAAGAGTCGGACTATCCACATCGCTATCCAATGGTGACGCGCCTCCAGCAGTTGTGGGACTTAAGGGCTCGACTTCTTCCATAAAAGAGGCTTGGGCGCCACCTAGTTGCTTGCCTTTTCGGGAGACTTTCTTCCAAGGTTAGAGGAGAAAAGTAGTGTGGAAACGAAAAACATCCTTGGATCATTGCGGGAGAAGTCGCAAGACGAAAATTATGCTATGAACAAGTACTTACTTGCTAGCTTCTATGTAGACAAAACTACAAGCGCAAACTTATATTATACATAGACTACGAACTTCTACTTGCACCACAAGTAGAAACTCCGCTTCGCTATCGACAATAGTCTCAACGTGACCAAATCATAATTCTTCTTCTCCGCTGCGCTCATGTTCTTCTCCTTCTCTAAATAGGCTGCAAAGTCCTCATCCGATGGCAATAGATACCTACCAGGACCCATACTTTTCTCAAAATTTTGAGGGTCCGTACCAGGTATTTCGCTTGGGTGAAAGAGATTGTCCAGCCTCCTACAGGGCAGGCGTGAGAACGTGCCAAGATCTTTATCGAGAGTTGGGTCGTTACGACGTTGGATAACCTGACACTAGTTGAGGCTGATGTTAATAATAGTAGTAGTAGTAGTAGTAGTAGTAGTAGTAGTAGTAGTAGTAGTAGTAGTAGTAGTAGTAGTAGTAGTAGTGTACCCATTCGAGAGGTAGCAAAGAGTTTTAATTAGAGGTAATAAAGGTTAATACGTTAATATAAGACTCCTTCGACTTATTTGCTGTTTGCAGGATAGAAAGAAATCCGTTATCTTCAGTAATCCTTCTTCCAAGAAAATCAATCTACTAGTCCTGTAGAAGAAGAAGTAAGTAGTTGTACATGTCTCGGCAGCAAAGACTCCATAAAAAAAAAAGAAGAAGTAAGTAGTTGTACATGTCTCGGCAGCAAAGACTCCATAAAAAAAAAGGAAGAAGTAAGTAGTTGTACATGTCTCGGCAGCAAAGACTCCATAAAAAAAAAAGAAGAAGTAAGTAGTTGTACATGTCTCGGCAGCAAAGACTCCATAAAAAAAAAGGAAGAAGTAAGTAGTTGTACATGTCTCGGCAGCAAAGACTCCATAAAAAAAAAAGAAGAAGTAAGTAGTTGTACATGTCTCGGCAGCAAAGAAGAAGAAGTAAGTAGTTGTACATGTCTCGGCAGCAAAGCGGACTCCATAAAAAAAAAAGAAGAAGTAAGTAGTTGTACATGTCTCGGCAGCAAAGCATTCGGCGCCATTTCTGCACGCTCTACATTAAACTTTGAGTAGTTCTTGAAGTCGTCACTGGCCTTCTTTGCTGCGTCGATGAGCCTCTTTGGTGGCCGCACTAATACCTTGAAGTCGGAAGAGGTTAGAAAATAGGCATGTCGTTGAGTGGGAAGACGAGGAGGTGGAGGCATCATCTCGTTTATGAAGAATATCTGATCTATCATGAAAAACTAAAATAAGCGAGTAACAGACGAGAATAACCGAGATACTGATGAGAAGGAAGCGTAGCCTTGACGTTAAGCTGCCTCCCTTATTTCAGTCAGTAACTCGGTTGTTTTGAGTTTTCGAATCTTCATGAAAACCAGTTCCTAACTTAACCAAATAGCTCCTGTCGTTCTCCCCCAGCAGGTATTTGAAGATCTCCCTCCAGTCTCCGTCAAATCGTATTCTTACGCAAGCCGCCTGAAACTCACCCTGCGACAAGTCTCCGTTATTGTTGTTGTCCAACTGGCGGAATGCTGCGTCAAAATTCTCGTATTTCGACAAGAGAATCGCAGTGAAATCTCTGAGATTCCTTTCTTCATCGGTGAGAAGCGCGTCGTCTATCGTGTTCGCCTCGCCACGGCCTGCTAAGTTGGTTGTGGAAGCTCCTAGGCTTTGGTTGTCGTCGTCTCCTTTGTTTTTCTCTGAGGGCTTCATCATACTAGCTTCTTTTTCCTTCGCCCTTTGCTCGGTAGGACTTAGAGACAGAAAAAAAGAAGTGTGAAATATAAAATTGTGATATCAATTGTTTCTTGGACGATAATTATGCAATGACTAATCCTGATGCGTGAGGCTGCTTGCTGTAAACTTACGCCAAATCGATGCCACCTACGAACGAAACAGGGGAGCATGAATGCGGCCGCCAAGTGGCGCTCCCGGGGTCGGTCCGTCTGTGTGATTGCGCACAGTCATTGCTGACGCATCGGGCTAGGTAGGCTAGGTAGAAGGGAGTAGAGATATTTATTTTTGATATTAAACCTTACTAGAGAGTCAAAAATCTTATCTTACAAGAGATATTAATTGTTTCTTGGACGATAATTATCTTCTGAAGCTAAGACCCCCTGGCATAAAAACATATGCGGATTGTTGAAGACTTCGTCGTGTGCGCGTGACAGCTCATCAAACGTGATTTCCCCGCTTCGATCGAAATCTATTGTCCTGAATATCTTCGTCATCATCGCATCGAACTGTTTGCGGGGGAGCTCGGCTGGAATGGAGGTGGAGGGAAGCTTTGTACTTTTGCTTCTTCTATCACGACTTTGCTTGAATTTGATTGATTGATTGATTGATTGATGTGCCTGGCAACAGGTCGTTTTTTGAGGATTTTTTGTCATAGATGAAGTTGAGGTGCGTCGTAGTCAAATGAGAAGCTTCAACTACCGATTCATTAGGAATATTCAATTTTTCAAATTTCAAGTCCAGAAAAGAACAAGCAAAAGTAGTACTGAAATTATATTGATCCATCTCGTGTCCTCGTTTGCTCCGTATCATACCCCAAACGGATTCTGACCATTCCATGGGGGATATGGTCCCGTTTTTGATAAAGTCCATATAATCGAAGGCCTTTTTGAGGCTGCCGTGATAATGGACGAGGAACATTTTCACGTTTTCTAGGGTCAGCTGAGGCATCAAGACGAAGCGCTCTGGCCTCTTCTGCGGCCACCTGCACTTTCTCCCGCCAAACCAAAACGTGTTCTCGAGTTGATCGAACGCACATTTCTGCCATTTGGCTGATTTGATGTGTGGCGGAGGTGGTGAAGGTGAGGTAGATTTTGCGTAGAGTACTAATCTGAAGTTGTTTCAGGAGTACACAAGAATCAATTTCAGAAGTTGCATTAAGTTATAGTTTAGTGCTCAAAACAACAACTGCATTATTCCAACATGACCAGAACATTCACCCATTCATTCATTCATTTACCTGTTCTGGAGGTATCTTTTGACGCCTTGGCGACTATGATTTTAATTGTTGGACTTACCAGCTCTGCTCCCATAGCTTGGCGTCGGCTTTCCCGGTTGCTCTAGAGCTAGATCTGGCGCTTGTCGGTGGGAGTAGTACGGCACCATAACAGGTAACCGTAAAACTTCCGGCATTTTACGAGGTACACAAGAATCAATTTCAGACGTAGAGTACTAATCTGAATTTCAGACGTAGAGTACTAATCAATTTCAGACGTGAAGTTGTTTCACAACTAGTACACAAGAATCAACAAAATTTCAGAAGTAAGTTGCATTAAGCACCATAACAGGTAACCGTAAAACTTCCGGCATTTTTTTGTGGCTCTTCGGGCTACTCGTACTAGCCTACTAAAGTGCTGCATTCATTCATTCATTCATTTACCTAGCAAGAGGTCGTTCGCCGGACTTAATTGTTGCAGTTGCATTTGAGTGGTTTTCATGTAGTAGAAGCATGAGAATTGTCGTCGGTGATACAAGTGGTTCTTGAGAATAGGCATCAGGGGGCGTTGGCTTGTGGGGGGGGACGATGAGGCGCGCTGTCATCAGACTTTGCTGTACCGATGGAAAACACGTACCGAGGAACCTGATAACCGAGATCTCGCCTTCCATTGAGAAGTTCATATACATCTGTTGCTTTTTGACTGCTCCCCAGAGATACAAGGACTGTGTACCGATACCGAAATGAGGCTCTTTTTGTAAGTAGCATTTCAAGACCACCTAGACAAACTATGAAACAGGAGACGCAATAGAAGTCTTTCCCTAGTCGAAACTGTAGTCCGCTGGCAGCCGTAGCACATCCTGAGTGCATGCTTCCCCTAGTTGGGTGTTCGTGTATCGGGTGGCGCAACAATAAACCAATCTTCATACGTTTCGCCGCTAGCAGCCATAACGTAAGAACAATCGCTAAAAAATGCATGAACCATTGCTTGTGACAACGCATCGTTGTGAACCCCAGTTGTGAACCCCCGAATGAACCATGAAGAAATATCCCCAGAGAGAGCTTGCTGCTCTTACTACTGCCTAAAATCAAGAACTGAAAAAAATCTTATCAAAAAAATCTACCTAAAAAGAACATCTTTGTCCGAGCTGAGGATTCCACCTCTACACAACGACACACACCATATCATCATTCAATGTCGCTGGCATCTTAACACACGTGTAGCCCAACACGTGCGACAGGATGTGGGGTATCTTTTCGTCTGGGTTGTCGTTTTCAAAGACTACCGTTGGTTTGAAGTACTCTAGCGTGTGGAAAGCGCCAAAAAAGAAGGCTTCAAAATGGCCTTCTATGTCTACTTTGAGAAGGTCCATGCGGTTGTGCCTGAGGTAGTCGTTCCAGGGTACTGCTTCTCTTGGGAGTGCGGAGAAGAGGGGGTGTTCTTCTTCTATCTCCCCTTCCAAATACTTCTTATTCGGACACTCCACTACTCCCGTCCGCTCTGAAAACTGTTGCAAGTCAAAAGACGGACTCGCACTTCCTAGTGTGTCAGGAGCATCTCCACTTCCTAGTGTGTCATAAAAACTCTCCAGACCACTACTACTCCCATCATCCTGTGTCCCGAAAAAGCCATCTCGCATTTTCTGCGCCAATGTCTGAGGACCCCAGGACGATTTCGGAAGACACTCTTCGCGGAAGTAGAGACTATCAAGGGGATGAAGGTGTATCCGCAGTTCTACATGATGTGACCGCCAGGCGTCTTGGCTAGCACGTTGCAAGCGCTCGGTTACGTAGGAGGATGAAAGAGTGGGGTGTGCAGATGGTGTAGATCCTGTTGGGGTATAAAGCATTATAGGGTAGAAACTTCATAGTACTTCAAATTGTGTGATAGTTTTTTTGACGGATCAAGTATAGCAAACTCAGAAATGCTTTCACCAACATTTTTGAAATGAAAACGAACAACTTCCGATTCCAGACACGGCTTCAATAAATGTCTTCAGCCATACCATCTGATGATAATTCAATTTCCGCATGTCTGGCCCCGGTATGTTTCTCAACACCTTATGCCCATCTGCCAATCCGAAGTTGAAGGCATGCAAATTCTCTAGACCGTTAATCGCTGCATTTCCATTTAACTTCTGAAACAGCAATCTAAACGGTTCAAACGCGTACACGTGACCAGGCTCGTACTTCGTTGCGGCAGCAAGTCCGTCTTGTGTAAGCTGATGTGTTGAAGCAGGAGATATTGTTGTTTCTGCTGCACTAGTGGCAGATGATCCTTTCTGAGTGCCTTTGCCGCTTGCACTTGCTGTAAGTGTTTTTTCATCAGCGAGGCCTCCTTTTCCAGAAGTAGAAGTAGTAGTATCACTGCCACCAATATCACTGCCACCACCACTCCTATCAACCACTTTCCCGGCTTCTTTTTCTCCCCACCAGTCTTTCCTCTCCCTCTCCACATCTAAGTGTCGTATTCTTGAAGCTGGATGCCATTCGGGGATGCCACCAAGACTTAACCATTTGCACATAGGTATTGCGTAAGCTCCCATGTTCGCGCCCACGTCTACGAAAACGTCTCCAGGGATGGTTAAGCCAGTCAGAAACTGGAGTTCATTTTCGACAAAAGTGCCGAAGAGACGGAGAGAGTTTGAGATGACGAGGGATTAGAGGCAGCTAAAAAAAAAATTCAAATTCAAAAAGTTAAAATCATCTTCAGTCATAATAATCGTATATCGGCAAGGCAAAGAGCAACGGCAGGTCGTGCAGCGTTTCTAATGCTTCTGGCGACATCCAGAATTCACTCGGGACTCCTCTTATTTTCCGAAAGTCCGTCTGCCTGAGTCGTTCAAAATGGAGCTGTCGTTTTCGCCTTTCGATGGGTGTTTTCCTCGCCATTTCGACGAAAGGGTCTTCCTCTTGCTGATCGAGTCGTAGCGCTCCTTTACCGCCAGTGCCTTTTTCAGTAGTAGCCTTTGATCCTCCACTACTTGACGAGGACGACGTCTTGATCTTGTCCAGAGTAGAACCATCACCCGTCTGAATAGCCAACTTCTCTTCCCTAAACCGCTTTTCCCATCTGGCTTCCTTTGTGTGCAAAACCAAATCCGAGTTGTCCTCCTCGTTGTGCTCTCTTTTCACGTCTTCTAGCTTCTCTTTGATGCGGGCACTACGATCCAGTAACTGTAGAATCTTCGCCCAAGCACGCGCCACTCTGCGTTTCCTTTTGCTTTCCACCTCAATCTTATCCACTAAAAGTAGCGTGTCTTGTTCTGCTGACGGGGCGTCTGTCTTCGGGGTTATTCGCTCATCATGGATTAGAGGGGTTCAATTCTTGGTTGTTGTTGTTGTTGTTGTTGTTCCATAGTAGATGTTGCATGTGTACTCGATGGTCACTGTAGATATGGAAAAATAATTCTTCAGTAATTGATGAATACGTCAATTCCTACCAAAAAACTTCACAAGAAGCTGCAGCCTTAACATTCCTTCCCCTTCCCCACGCCTTCCCCTTCCCCACGTTCCTGCTCCATTGATGCAGAAATCCAAGAGTTCTGCTGGTTCTAGCCTCTTGAGAAATTCGTGTCCCAGCACTGCTTCTTGTGGCAAGAGGGGATATCGTCGTTGTACATCAAAGGACAGCTGATTGTGTAACGCTTGTACCACTACGGGATGATCTATGCCTGCCAACAGATTCGGTCTCGGCTTCCACTGTGATGCAGATAGCTGTCGACTCATCCACGTTTGCTGCACGACCCAACCAGGTGTGGAGCATGAATGGGGAAAAATAAGCAGTGCTTTACAAGTTCATGAAGGTGGGAAGCCTAAGGTTTACTACGAGGAAAGAAGTACGTATATAAATATAAGTTGGCTAAAAGAAGAACTATGTGAGCGAGAAGTTCAAGTTCTTCCAAAAACAATATGCAACAACACATCATCAGCTCTAGGTCTTACTACATGTACTTTCAATAGAAATACAACCAGCTACACCATAAAATATCTCCATGCGAGAGCAGGTCTAGTGGGATGCGACTCTCGTGTCGTTCGATCTCTCGAAGGTCCGGTAAAAAAGCGTCGCGGCCCAGCCGCTCAGACTGTTGTTTTTTGTGCACGTGCGTATTTTTTGCCCATTAAGCGCCTTTTCGTCCACAAGGCACACAAGGGAAGCCACGCGTAAGTGCCTCGGGACGCGCCTTTTAAGTGCCTCAGGCTCTAGTTCTGCGGCACTTATTCTGAGGCAGTGAAGGGACTCGCCTCTTAAGTGCCTCAGGCGATAGTTCTGAGGCACTTAGCGAAGCACTTCAGGGGCACGCCGCGCTTAAATGCCTCGCGCACTCTTTATGAGGCACTGAGCGAGGCACACAAGGGGCACCCCGCTTAAGTGGTTCCCTCAAGTGCTTCGGTCACGACTTAAGCGAGACTCAGCGAAACCGTTAAAGGACGCCTCGCTTAAGTGGTTCCCTCAAGTGCTTCGGTCACTACTTAAGCGAGACTTAGGGAAACCGTTAAGGGGCGCCCCGCTTAAGTGGTTCCCTGAAGTGTTTCGGTCACTACTTAAGCGAAGTTCGCTTAAGTGGTGTCCCTGATACGCCGCGGCACTAATATTAACACCAACACAGATTAGAGAAACTAAAAGGTCTCATGAACATACAAATGAAGCAGAACATACAAATGAAGCAAAACATGAATCTCCAAAAATACTTCATCATCTGCCCACACCGTCATCGCTTGCCTTTTCTCCTTTGACACTAATTTCGCGTGTAAAGACCCATGCAAAAGGTCTCCTGCAGGTGGAAGACAACCTAGGTGAAACGTGTTCCTGCAAGTCGGGTCATCTCTCATGATATCATCGCGGAATTTCGACGTTCGGTAAATATAGCGAAAATGCGTTTTCCCGGAGCCGATATCACTTGAGCGTAAGCGGAAGGACTTTGTCGGGGAAAAGTGTTTAGAAGAGTTCTATTTTTGTGATGAATGAAAAATTGGCTCTATGGGGTGAAAAATATTTCAGACTTTAAAAATTCAGTAACTTACTATAACGCATTGCTACACGACAACAAGAGTTTCCCGCCATAATACTCAGCGCACGAGATGACGCACCACTTCCTTTCCCACCTCCTCCCGCATTTGCACCTTTATGGTTGTGTGATCCGCCGCCTGCATGTATCATCTTCTTGCTCCCTGCCTCTCGTCTTCGAAAAGCTCGTTCTTGGAACGCGGGTCCGATTTCCGGTGCCTCTTGATGCCGCGCCGCACGCCATAGCCTCCCCCTTGAGCGTGCGCAGTACACTGTCAGCAGATAGTTCCAATTCGCTCTTCTTTTGATCCAGAACTCAGCCGCTACACCAGTCCTATCCAAACTCAGAAGTTTCTGCATCAAATGCATCTCAAAACTCGTTCTGGCGTGGGTAGAACTTCTTGTAGTACTACTTTCGCTAGTAATTATAGCGTCTTTGACGAGATCTTGTTCGAGGATACCACGCATGGATCGACCGGGATAGAGGTATTCGTTCCACAGAGTTTGCATGTCGGGTCTTCTGTGGGAAAGGGGAAGAGAAAGGACGATTCAAAATGTCCACAACAACGTATCGAGGATTGCTATAAGGTTCTATTAAAGTCAGACAAACACTAAAAACAAAACAGTACTTCGACCCCCCTTCCTCCCCATCATTGCTTCCCACTACTCCACCTCCACTGCTGCCACCACTTCCCGCCAACGGGATCTGCGGCAGCGCAAAAATTGGGAGTTCTTTTTGCAATTTTTTCAGCGGGACTAGATGATTTCGCAAGTCTAGATTGAAAAGCAGGTTTGGCGATGAAAAATTTTTGTTGAACAAATCGCGAAAACGCCATCTGTCGAAATTTTCAGGCACTACTGTCATCTGAGGTCCTGAGCGATACAGGTCGTCTATGGAGAAGGTGTCTTTTCTTCCAAGGTTATGACTGCTTTTATTTTCGGCACTAGTGCTACTTTGCTGTGCATTTTCACCAACTCGTTCAACTGTGGTAGTTGCAATAGAAGTGGTCTCGTTAGTCTTAGTTGTACTTTCTCCTCCTTGTGGTCCTACCAAACCTCGATCCCCACTACTAGGTGGCAAGTGCCAATCATCAAATAGGCGAAACTGGTAGAGCCGTTCCTTCAGATACTGCAAACTACTATGCATGGAAGCAAGGTCTTCTTCTAACAAAAAACGGGAACAGTTCTGGAGAGACATGTACCGCATTGCCGAAGCGAATATTATGGGAGAGGATCTTTGAGGACTACTTCCTGGAGGACTACTTCTTCTTCTTCTTGGGGTAGTTGGTGGCATCAACAAGCTTGAGGTGTTTCTTGTTCCTACACTTACAGCAGTCTGTTGATGTGGCAACGTTCTCTCACGTGATGAAGAACAAGATCTTGCCCTCGAGAGTCCTCGTCCTGATGTTGTTGCATCATCGTGACCATGATTCAAGGTGCAGCAGGAGTCGTTGAACTGTTCAACGGCTTCCGACGCGTCGTAGAACCAAAGGTGGTCGGGCCAAGGGACCAAACCTGCAAGCGACAAAAGCTTCAACGACTGCATTTTGTTTGGCTTGTAGGTGCTAGCCTTAGAAGCGGAAGAAGGTGAAGTCGTTGTTTACATTGTTGTGGAGAGGAGCATCTTCATAGAAAAAAAATCATGGGGGTAGCTGTTGTTGTTTTTCACATGATGCACGAGGGTTGCCTACGCTTGACGATAGGCATCTTCGGTCAAGAAGGTTCGACACGATTCTAGGAGACTCCCCTCCCCTCGCAGGAAAGAAAGCGCAGGAGGAGACGGCTTGGTAATTGTAGGCGATGATCCTTATCTAAATCAACAACCCCCTCAAGAATATTGTGGCGGCCGTTTCTTCGACAATGCGGTCGGCTGGGATCCCGTACTTAGTGAACCACCTCCACTCCTTTCTCTCGTTGCGTTACCCTGGTGAACATAGTGATATGCGCATTTAGCTTGCGTTACGACGTGGGGAACACGAACAAGCACAAAGACAACGCGAGGGCCTCGGCTCTTACACTGTCTAAGCACCTGCTGCAAATGTTCGCGCCAGCGATGAGGCCCCACACGGTGGCAACAGGAATAGGGGGAACGGCGCTGCCAATGTCACCCGACATGGTGCGCGCGCACTCGCTGAGGGCATTCGACTCTGCCGGTGAGGGAAGCGAGAAGGGCCTCCCACTTGTTTCCCGGTTGCCTTTGCAGGGCCGGAGGGGTCAGGAACCTCGTGGGGGTCTTGGTTCATAAAAAAAAGCCCCATAAGCTTCCCCGCAGGCCCCTATAGGCGGCGACGAAGTCCTGACGCCGTGCCCGCCGGTTTTCTGGGAGTTCTGCCCAGGACGGCCGGTCCTTTGCGGGGGAGAAGGCAGGCCGCGGCGGCCCGTGCAAGTCGTCGACCCATCGCGGACCGGCTTCGCGCGGCAGTCTTAAAGCCAAAGCCCCGGAACACCGGCGGCCTTTGGTAGTGTCCCTAATTGTTTCTCGACCTCCTAGGCGGGGGGGCGGGTGGGGCCGAGATCGCCCTCTCTAGAGGCCTACGGGAAAACCTATTGGGGGCGGCTTTCCACCCCATCAGTTTCCCTGACCCTCTTGCCCCTGCCTCCTTGGCCTCCGGCGGGGTCTCCACTGGTCTTCCGGCAGCCACGGGCCCCCCCGGTTGCCTTTGAAGGGAAACCACTAGTGACGAAACACGAGGCAGGGGCGGAGACCCCAGAGGCCAAGGAGGCAGGGGCAAGAGGGTCCGGGAAACTGATGGGGGCGAAGCACAACCCTCTACGGGCTTTCCCGCAGGCCTCTATAGAGGGCCCTCCCAAACTTAAGGGCCTGCCCTAGGTCGGCGTCTGTAGGGGCCGGCGGGAAACTGATGGAAGGAAGTGGCAAGCCTTTTTTCCCAATAGTTTCCCACAAAGTTGCCCTTCTCGCTTCTATTCAGCTGAAGGAGCGAGAAAGCCGCGACTTTGGCGTGGGTTGCTGACCCTGCTCGGCAGCTCTGCGCTGCGCGTCTGTTGTCGACCCATCGCGGGCAGGGTGCTAGGCAGCCCGGCGCCGCGCGCCTGTTGTCGACTTGTCGCGGGCCGCCTGCTAGGCAGCTCGGTGCTGCGCGTCTCTTACCGACTTATCGCGGGCCGGCTGCTAGGCAGCCCGGCGCTGCGCGTCTCTTATCGGCTTCTCCCGGGCCGGCTGCCAGGCAGCTCCGCGCCGCGCGTCTGTTGTCGACCCATCGCGGGCCGGCTGCGAGGAAGTCCCGCGCTGCGCGTCTGTTGTCGACCTATCGCGGACCGGCTGCTTGGCAGCTCTGCGCTGCGCGTCTGTTATCGACTTATCGTGGACAAGAGACGCGGCAGTCAGGGCTACTTAAGGGGACCACCCCCCGCACCGGAAGAGCGTCGCGACTGTCAGCGAATTGCGAGGGCTGCGCGCCATCTAATGGCGGCAACAAGGCCCCGGGCACCAGCTTCGCGACAAGCAAACAAACGCGCGCACGACCGCGGACAGCCAAGACTCCGAAGGGGAGCGGCTCCGCGAGGGGGGCACCCTCCTAACTCGAAAGGCGTCGCACTCTTCGGCGAATTGCGAGGACTGCGCGCCACCTAGTGGCGGAAACAAGGCCGCAGGCACCAGCTTCGCAACAAGCAAACAAACGAGCGCACGATCGCGAACAGGCAAGGCCCCGAAAAGAGGCGGCCTCTAAAAGGGACCACCTTCCCAACTCGAAGAGGGTCGCACCCTTAAGCGAATTGCGAGGCCTGCGCGCCATCTAAACTAATGGCGGAGACCAGGCTTCAGGCATCAGGCTTGCGACCGGCAGACAGACGACCGCACGACCGCGGACAGCCAAGGCTCCGAACGAAGGCGGCCTTTCAAGGGGGTCACCTTCCCAACCCGAAGGAAGTCGCACCTTTCAGCGAATTGCGAAGGCTGCGCGCCATCTAGTGGCGGAGGCAAGGCCTCAGGCATCAGCTTCGCGACAGGCAAAGAAACGCGCGCACGGTCGCGGACAGTCAAGACCCAAAAGGAACGAGCTGCGAGAACTGCGCGCCATCTAATAGCGGAGACCAGGCCGCAGGCATCAGCTTCGCGAGAGGCAAGCAAACGCGCGCGCGATCGCGGACAGGCAAGGCCTCGAGGGGGGGCGTCCTCTTAAGGGGGACGCCCTCCCAACTCGGAGAGATTTGCACTCCTAAGCGTCTCGCGAGGACTGCGCGCCACCGAATGGCGGAAACCAGGCGACAGGCATCAGCCTCGCGCGCAAGCGTGAGCGCTGCGAAGTCTAGCGCGTGGCCCACGCTGGTCCTGGTTGCGTTCTCGGCAGGGAAGGGAACCAGCGGAACCCCGTGCGGATTTAATTCCAACCGCGGTGAAGTTACGAAGGGCCAGCGCCACCTCTCCATCACTTTCCCACAGGCCCCCCCAGAGGACGGCCCCGTCCTCAACAGACGCGCGCTCTTGGTTTGAGTCGCCCTCTATAGGGTCCCGCGGGAAACTAATCGAGGAAAGCGATAAGCCACTTACCCAATTAGCCTCCAAGGACGCTGCGACCTTCTCCGAACCTTGTAGCAAGAGGGCCGGGGCCTTGGGGGTTTGGTTTAGATCGCCCTCTATGCCTTCCTACTCCTACGGGAAACGAATGGAGAAAAGTGGGCACTGGCTTTCTCCATTATTCAAAAGAAGCTGGTGGCTGGTAGTGTCAGACTTACAGAAGAGAAAGGGAGCGGATGGCCCCAAAGGTGGCGGCCCTTCTCACAAATCTGAAATTTTTAGGGCTTCAAAGTCCATGACTTTTCTAAGCCCTGAGGGCTTCAGACTTATAGAGGGCCAGCTGTTTCCGGCTTCTCGACTTATCGCGGACAGGCTGCTAGGCTCTCACAAATCTGAGACTTTCAGCGTTTGGAAGTCCATACCTTTTGATAGCCCTGATAGCTTCAGACTTGCAAATGGCCAGCCGCTTTCGGCTTATCCACTTATCGCGGGCAGGCTGCTAGACTCTCGCAAATCTGAAATTTTTAGGGTTTAAAAGTCCATGACTTTTCCAAGCCCTGAGAGCTTCAGACTTACAAAGGGCCAGCTGTTTGCGGCTTATCGACTTATCGCGGACAAGCTGCCAGGCTCTCACAAGTCTGAAGCTGTTACACCCCCGCCCGACATTTAAAAATTGGGAGCGAGTAAGCCTTGCGGCCTACCAAAATCGGACCAGAAGCAGGCCGAGCCCAAAACGAAGCAAACTTCTTGACATTGAGAGGACTCCGCGGCCCTCTGTTCTAATATCAGAACCACGACGCCGCAAAGGGTCCGCTCTGTGTCTAGATTCCTCCACAGTCTAGGCGCAGCCATCTGCCTGCGAATGGTTCTAATAGTTTCTAATAGTTACGCTTTCGCTACGTGGTGAAGAAGGTAGCCTCGCGCAAGGCTTCGGCGGCGGCCTCTTGCGGGCCTGCCGGAGGCTTTGCGAGGCGGCTCCAGCGGGCCCGGCCCCCGCCTCCCCGGCTTTCCGAGAAGCTTGGAGAGGCCTCACCCATGAGCCTCGACCGGGCTGCCGCAAAGGTCTCGGGGCGGGCCGAGGGGGGCCCGCGGCCCCGAAACAGTCGGGCGCCCATTATAGTTTTAACTATGTTCTTGCGGCAGTTTGGTGCCGTCTCTAAGTGTCTCCAAAATGACAGACGGACACGTCTCAGATTGATCAAATTCGCACAGCTTCGACCCCTCACCGACAAGACCCCCAGCGGCTTCATTTCTTTGGAGAGGTGGACCCTCTTCCCCGGATGAACGAAACCAGAAGCGACCTCGGCCGCGTGTGGACACTAGTCGCGAGAGCTTCCCGACTCCGAGAGGGCTCCCCGTCTTGAAGCGGTCCAGAGCTCGGCGGGAGCTTTCTGAAAGACAAAGACGGGGAGCGCCCTGCACTCGCCTTATAGCCCACCGCAAGCCACCGCGCGGCGCCCTCGAATCTCAGGAGCGAACCAAGCACGGAGAAGACCGAGCGGGACACACTGCGCACGGAGTGCAGCCCGCCACCAGCCACCGGAGCGCGCCCTCGAGTCTCCTGGAAGAGAGGAAAACGAGAGGGAAACAAAAGAGAAGACAAAGGCAACACAGGCGGGACCGTGTCGACCGGGTCAGCACTGGAGAACCACGCGCAACCAAAGCCGCAGCATCGTCATGCCATCCCGCCCTTTGCCTCTCTTGTTTCTCTCCCCGCTTCTCGCTCCTCGAGATTCGAGGGCGCGCCGCGGTGGCTGCTGGCATCGGGCTCCCTGCGGTTCAGAAGACCCAAGAAAAAGAGGAAGGGAGAGCAGAGAAGACGCACACGCAGCGCGCCGCAGCCTGCCCCGCTTGGGTTCCGCGCTCAGCGTAAGCCCCAGGCCTGGCCCGAGTTTCGAGCATACTGCGAGTCTCGGCCCGGCCTCGAGCTCCGGGCGTGCTTCGGGCTCGCCTGTTTGGTTTGAGGTCGGGCGGGCTCCTGGCGGGTTTGGTCGGCTTGCGCTTGGGTTTTGAAGGTGTTCGGTCCGCGTTTCCGTTTGGCGTGGGTTTGGTTTCAGTTTGGCTGGAGTTTGGTTCGCGTTTGGGCGTGGGCGTGGTTTGGGTTTGGTTTGAGTTTGGTCCGGGCTCGGTTTGAGTTTTGGCCCGGTTTGCGTTTGGTGCTGGTTCGGCTCGAGGTTGGTTGAGGTTTGGTCTGTGTT